GGTAAGGCAGCCATGGAGATTTGGAAAGGGGTGATGGTTGATAGCAGAGACTACCGTGGTGAGACAGGTTGATTAACATCTGCCCACGCAGCAGGACACACTGTCTGCCATCCAGCAGCCTTCACTCTGCCATAGAGGAGAGAACACATTTTCTGGGCAAGCAAGCTGTCTTTCCAGCACAGCATGCCAGGAGAACGTTACAGACAACATTCCCTTTGCTCCCCGCCTTGCCCACCACCCACTTCAGCAGGAACACCTCCATTTCCCCCATAAACTGCCACCTCACATCCAAAGTTCTTGTCTCATGTCCAGTGTGAGCACACACAGCATTAGCTCTCACAGCCATACCTCCACATTATGGAAGCTCCTGCCATCCCTTTCCAATAAAAGCTCCTCAGGAAGCTCCCTAAGGAAGGACTTGCCCTTCCACATGCACCACTCAGCTACCAGTTGCTGTAACGTATTTTACTATTCCTTAAAATTGTTGCTTTTGCACAAAGGATGATTTTATATATATATATATATGTAATTATATATACAATTTAGGACAAAATTAACATGGAGTTCCCAACCAACAAAGCAAGAGAGTAGGAGTTAAGAAGAGTGGGAGACACTATCCTGTTTCCCTAAAGGCAAGATTCCAACCCAGCCACAAGCAACGTGTCCCCAGCAGTGCCAAAACACTTGGATAATAAATGGAATATAAAATACAGCACAGGACGCTGTAATCAGGACACCTGAAACAGGGGATGGTGCCAAATTCTGGCTTAAAAGCTGCAAAACAGCTCTGCGTGCGTCTCCCTGCTGGAAGCTGCAGATGACCCACTCTGCCTCTGCAGCTGTACCTATATATAGTTTCTAAGAGAGACTTGGCTATAAAAATACATCTATAGATGCAGTCTAAGCCTAAATAGGCTACACAGCTGCATGCTTCAACACCCAAATAATTTAAAATATTGTGCCCTGATCATATTGTTGTTTTTTCCACCGGTGTAAGAGCAGGGCGAAGGACCCGGATAAGAGCGGGAGGGGTTCAGGCATGCTGGTGGTCAGGAGGTCCATGAGAGAGTTCACCTTCAATCCCCACAGCCCATGACAAAGAGAAAAGGAATGGGCATCAGAACTTCAGGAAAGGGAAAGATCAATCAATTAGAGTAAAAATTAATTCCCTCTCACTTTAGTTTTTCAAGAGACTCACTGTATTTGTTCCACAGTTCTGCTTCTACACCAAAAATCCCTTCTGGTGTAAAGGTAGCCCTGAACCAACAGGTCAAGTACACTTTGCATTTGTGCTTGTAGAAAAGTTTTCTAGGCTAAATCTTCTAAGAAATTACCTACTGAGCACCAAACACGATGGGAAAGGTCTGAGGGAACAGCTGGATTCCCGAAACACTCATCAAACCAGTACATAAAGCACGAGGTAAAACCACCCCACTTTTCATATCAAAACCACGTTTCAGTGTGTGGGAAAGGAAACACAAACACCAGCCATGGTGAGGGAACACAAACCAGAAACAAAGGAGAAAATTGCACAAAGGCCAAAAGGTATTCAGCTGTGCCTGCTCCATACAGTACTCACAGGGTGGGAGAACTGGGCCATCCCTTTTCCCAAGAGAGACGCACATGGCTTTATCTGTGTGATCAGCCAGGGAGCAACACAGCCAAACACACGGGATGCCAAAGTGCCCCCAGCTTTGTGCTGTGCCTGCAGCCCAGAACAGCTGGAGCAGCTTTGCCCTCTGCTGGTCCCGCGAGGCCCCTCAGCCCATCCCAGGCAGGAGCCCCTCTGTCCCACGGACACCCCTCGGGGCTGCCAGCCTCACCTTTCCCAGGCCGGCAGAGCAAGGCTGACGTACAGCAAGGGACTCAAGAGTGCCTTAGTCAGGGAACAGCCTTAGTTAAGAGTCTGGAAAAAGAGTAAAAACAACCCTCTGAATTCGATGGAGCTGCAGCCCCTGCCCCAGCCCAGAGTGATAGGAGGGGCAGGTAAACGACCTTAATTAAATCACACCACACTGGAAGGCTTTCCCCATCCCACTCAGGACTCCTGATTGCATTGCAAGTCCTTTCTTTTGCCCAAAGCAGCAGGACTGCACACCGCACTGAAACATTTGGAAACAGCGCTCCTGGCAGGCAGCTGCCACTGAGGGGTGCACGGGGTCAGGGAAGAGAATCCCCACGGCAGCAATACAGGCAAGCCCCGCCACCCAGGGTAGACACCGGTCGCTCCCAAGGGGCCAGGGCTGGTTTGTCCCACCCCTTTACCCCTCTCTCTCCCACTTGTTTTCCCGCTCGGATGTTTGTTTGGTTCCACTCAAGGCGATAAAAGCGCAGCCAGCGTTTGCCCGGCACAAAACCAGTCACCCTGGCAACGGCGAGCAAAGCTTTCCCAGATTCTCCCGCTTGGTTTTTCCCCTGGTTTTGCAGGGATCGGTGCGACCTGGGCGAGGGCTGCATGTGCCAAATATGCCGTCAGCAGCGGCACAGGGAGGGATGAATAGGAGAGCTGGCCCAGCTCTGCTGGAAACCAACAAAAACTTGTGTGCCGCCAAGTCCCCTGAGAGCTGGCGACTTCCTCACACCATCCACAGCAACTTGTAGGTAAATGCATTACCCCCTCACTCAGCCACATCTCAAAGTCACCCAAGCATACCTTATCTAATTAGTTTTCCAGCACTGTGCAGCATTATTCCCATGATTTAATCCTGCCTGGGATCATTAGACACCATGGTACCCTTAGGAAAGCAATTATGACACTGACCTACGTTTTCAGGGGCCTGGGCAGGCAAGTGCCTTTGTCATCTGTCAGAGGGTAATTTTCTAATTTGATTTAGAGCTTCTCTAGAAAAAGATAATTTACTTACCTGCTGGCTTTCAAGGATGCCTTAAAGCCTGTCTAAACTAGTGCACTGACTACATTTTGGGGGAAAAGAACCCCCAAAACACCAGTACTGGCTGTGTAAAAATAAAACAGGTAAAACAGTCTTGCTCCAGGTAACAGGAAGATGAAGACAATCCAACTTCAACATTAACACAAGATGAAAAAAATCAAATTTAAAAACACTTTAGTACACTGCAGGCAGAAGTGGCAAAGCATCATGCTGTGAGTGGGTTGCTGCGCTACTGAAAACCTGCAGGTCCAGTAATCCTGGGACATCAGGCAGGTGTTCCACTAACACCAGTCCTGCTGCTGCCACGCAGAGTCTGCAGCTTGTGGGGGAGAGGTAAAAATATGAGCGCTAAAAATAATGTCAGATTCAGCCCCGTGCTGGGTCACAAAGAGCAAAAAAATCGATGGTGGGTTCTGCTCCAGGCAGATGGATGTGGAATGATGCTCTGTCAAAACAGTCAGGGGAGACAGGAAAAAAAAAAAAAATCAACAAAACCAAATGGGTACTCCAAGGTTAGGAATTCCTATAATTTTACACTATCATTCTGAATTATTAAGTAAAGTGTATTTCTTGGGAGGGAAAAAGTCACTGCTGGAAGCTCCTAGAGGTGAAATATGAAGTACTTTTAGGGATGCAACTCCTGGGATGGTAAAACTCAATAGCTGGACTCCTTGGCATGTGATGGGGAGGGATAACAGCAGCAGAAATTCACTGTCACATGTATTTAAAGATAAAAAACAAACCATTCTGGCATACTTGAGAATCCAAGGTTTTGTAAAATCATCTAGACCATCCTCTCCATTCCTGACTTCTGAATCAAGAGCAAAAATGCTGTTATTAACTTCTTCAGGAAGTAATAAACACCGACTGTCCTTCCCTGCTGAAGCAGATTGCTGTACTGGTTTAGAAAGGGAGAAAAACAAAAGTCATGTTCAAGTGTAAGGAATTAACCTGTATAAATATGGAAAGGGACAGAAGGGTGACTTCTGTGTGTTAAAGTCAGAAAATATTAATACAGGAACAGTAACTCCCAGACTTCAGCTTTTGCAGTTCAGTTCCACTCTCCACCACACATAAAAAGTCTGAATCATTTATGAGCTGAATTATTTATAACATGGATATATTTTTGACTCAAAATGAACTTCAGCAGCAAAATCTCAAACATTTTACCCAGAGTAGGCTTTTGGGTTTATTTTTCCTTTTCACATCACAGAAACGGAAAAAGAAAACAAACTTTTAGGCAGGATGCTGAGGAAAAAAACAAACATTAATGGATCAATTCTATTCATAGGTAGGTATAGAAGAGACTTTTTATCATGTCACCAAATATCTTACCCACCTAGGATGAGAGGAGCTCAAGATTAAATAATAATAAATAAAAAATGCTGCAATTGGACTAAACACTTGAATACTGCAGGAGTCCACAGGGCAGTGCCTGGCACACAGGTCAGTTCTTTGCCTTCCCCCACCTTTCCCCTGGGAGGAATCCTCCATACACCATTTCCAAGAACCATCAGCAAGCTCTTCCCCTCCAGCCCTTTTGTTTGTCCCTTATCTTGCACTTTTCCCCTCTGTCTTCCTGCTATCTCCAGCCTGATCGCTGCTATTCCCTCTCCATTGAGTCGTGCTAATCCCCTCCATTCACTCCCTCCCTGCCAGCGGGCTGAGTCACTCACAAGTGCAGCCTTGTGTAGAATTCCAATTTTACCTTCAGGGTTTTTTTTAAATATTGCCAGTCTCCCGTGAAATACTTGAAAGCCATTAAAAGTCACCATCTTAACCTGTGAACTGCACAACTTTTAACACTTCTCTGCAAGTGAGAACTGCTTCTGGAGCCAGAGCAACCACAGCTATCAAACAAAGATATTATTTCTTCCACCGAAGATTCTTCTAAAACAAACAAACAAAATCGAAGTTCAGTTTAGTGTGTATTTATACAAGGAAAATTTCTCCCAGACTTCTTCACGACAGCCTTAGCCAACTGAAAATACAGGGAAGATTATTCTGTACTTTGAAACAGTTTGATGGGCTAAAGAGAGGCCTAGAGAGGTTTATGCAGCATTAACCACTTTTATTATTTATGGTGTCATAAAGCAAATGGAATTAGAGATACACAACAGAAATTTTCTCCAGCATTTTATTTTATAACCTAGTGTACAAAACAACATACAAAAAAATATAATCCAAAAAAAAAAAAAAAAAAAAAAGAACAAAAAAAAACCAACCCCAAAAGTGAACTAAAGCAAAATCTTGTAATACACATTTTCCAGAGAGCTTAACCTAAAGGCTCAGAAGCAGCAAACATTCTGCCTATTCCAAACAGAGTTCAGAGCCATTTCCACTCTTGCAGTCTTGCAGAGTTGTGGCTCCTGGGTTTAGTTGCTGTAAGCAGTGGTGGCTGTGGGGGCTGGTTTTGGTAGGTTGGTTTGGAATACCTACAGTTCACACCTGAAGATCATCGGGCCTGGTTAGTTGCCATCAGTGAAGCGAATGTGTTTGCTCGTCTGTTGAGTCTTCTCCAGTCTCATCTTCTCAGCCTTGGCAATCAACTGCAAACAGGAGAAATACCACAGAAAATTAGAGGAAAGTGATATCCTTAGGATTTGATTTCACAGGCATGGATATATTCTTCAGTGCTTCACCAGATTACCTGAGAAAATGTTTATCTGAGCAGCTGAGCTAAGCTAGATAGCTATCAAAAATATATATAAATTCAGTATTGCCTCAGAATCATCCAAAATAAAAGTGTCTCTTCAGTTGCTGATCAGTTGCTTTCATTCCATCCCTTCCTCCTCCCAACATGGTTGAAGAGAACAAAATATTAATTTTTTAAGTCTTAAAATACAGTCTCATATAATTTAAAGAACTCTTTAAATGAATCCTTTTACTGGATTCGTTTTGTGAGAGATGTAGGAAAAACAAGGTTAGGCTAGAAAAGGAGTGCTTCAGGAATATTGTAGCATTTTAGGCAGGACAAAAACCACACACCACCAATACACCACACTGGAAACCCCACACAAACCACTCAAGAACAATAAAAGCACAGAAAAACCACCCACAAAAATAAAACCCCCATAGAAACCCCACATGTGAATACAAACACATAAACCCACTAAAAACACACACAAAACCCACAAGCCACAAGAGACAGAACACACTGAAACCACAAACACACACGAACCCACAGAAAACGCACATACACAAACCACAAATCAACACAAGAACTCCCACAGAAGAGCACAAACACACACACAAAAAACGTAGAGACAACCACAGAAACCATACACCAACACACAAAACCACACAGAAATGCAGGCACACCCCACACAAAGACACAAAACCACATTAAAAAAAAAAATCATCACAACAGAACAAAAACTCACCTACAAGACAAAAAACAACACCCAAAGTAAAAAAAAGGAAAAAAACCCCACCAAAACAAAACAAAAAGAAACCACAAACAAAAAACCCCACAATAACTTCTGTGCTGGGGATAACTCAAACGTATAAGATATTGCTCTGGGGAAGGGGTCTTTGCTCACGGGCAACTCCACTTTGCTATATTTCAACAATTTCACAAATAAATCAAATTATTTGTTCCTTCTGCATGACTGTGGTGTCATTGTGTCCCATCAGTGCACAGGATGCTGCTGCACTGACTGGGACAGTTGGGATTTCAGAAAGAGAGAAATAAAAGTGATCTAAAGATGTAACCAAGGGTCAATTTTACTCTCTGATATCTAAAAAAAATTACTAAAAGAGTTTTAACAGTAAGAAGTGAAGAGTACAGTGGTTTACTCGTTGCACATATGAGATGGAGAATTCCAAGCAGGGGAAGTTCTAGGACATGAACTGCCCAGTTCACACCAGTGACAGTGGTTTTGTACCCGTGCCTCAGAATTCACAGAGGCCTCAAGGATTCCTGTTTGCAGCTCATCAGTCCCGGATCAGCACCTCTATCTGAGCACACTCCTGTCTCCAAACAGGTCTCCAGCCCTTCCACAGACACCAGTGGCACAGAGCCAGGGAACTGGGGATGTGCCGTGGAGTGGGAGCTGTCCCCACGGGCTCACCCACAGGGAATTGCCCAGCCTTGCAAGGGCACAGCCCCGGAGCCCCAGGCATCAGCAGCACAGAACAGTGTGGGCTGTGCCCAGACATTCCCACCATCCTCCTTCTCCATACATCCTGTAAATTATGCCACCCTTCACAAATACCAATTCTCACTTCCTCACCAAATGCCTTTCACTTCTGCCACCCCTCCCACCCTCTTAAACTTCCTCCTTCCCTCTGGGAAAGGGGGCACAAGGTGCAAACGAGGTTCCTCCCCCCGGGAGCCAAGGATCCAAGGGGAAAGCTTGCAGGCACTCACTCCTTGGCTTGGGGAACGGGAGACTCTGATCAGTCTGGAGTTTAAGGCTACAGACTGATGGATTGCTTTAGCTCTGAATAAACTGGCACTGCCCTAAAAAGCAGTTCTGGCAGGAAGGTTTGCCATCGGTAAATCAAGGAGGTGGTTTTCTCAGGCTGTAAAGCCACAGACAAAAGAGAAGATGGATTTGGAAGGGGCAGCAGAGGGGTGACAATGAAGGACCAGGCCCGGGGGAAAAGCCTCACACTGAACACCTTTTTCACTCCCAAGGACAGTCAGGCCTTAGTCAAGTTCTGGGACATTTAGTTTATTATAAGAACTACACCAGAGAAAGTTAAATCTCTACTTAAATCTAATCTAATCTCATCGGTTTTGGGTGTGAGCATTATGACAGACATCTGCTCAAGTTGTCCTTAACCCTCATCCCAGGGAAAGAGAAGCATGCCTTATACTTTTTAGAAAACACAGAAAAGAGCAATTTCTAAGTGCCTAAAATTACAACCATCTCCAAAGTGTGGTAAAGTATTTCAAAACATTACCAGAACAGACCTTTACAAGAAAGATACACTAATGGCACGTTTTACTATAGATACTTTATTATGAATAATTACTTTTTTCTTCCTTGTAAGCACTAAGGAAGAATTTTCTAATATTTAAGCACTGTTTACCATCAATGGGTATTTTGGGAATACAGCCTGTCCAAAAGCAAGGAAAGGGTTAAGAGTTCCTGACTGCAGCCAGGCATTCTTGTCTTGATGTTTCGCTTGACAGCGTTAGCATTTAAATGGAATTCCCTGGGCTTTGAAGTTCACACCTCCCGGTGTGGGCAAGGTGATGGGCAGGGGGGAGGAGCGGGAGTTTGCATCCCTGTGCTGCCTTTGTTAGGCAGGAGTGAGACAGTTTGTATTTGAGCTGCATTACTGGCCAATTTACACCGCTTTGGTCAACAAGTACCAGCCTTCAAAAGATGAAGAGTAGAAACGGGAGAGCAAGTCTAAGTTAAAGTCTAAGGTGCCACTTTGGTTTAAAAAAGTAAAAGTACATTAAAATAATAAAAAAAAAAACACAACAGGGAGCATTCAGTAAAATGCTCTGAAGCTGCAGAGCTTTCACATTCCCTTTCTAGTCATATTAAAGAAAAATGGCTCAAGTCAATGCCATCTTTAGGCTTTTAAGAAAATTAAATCAGACCTTGGGGCAAGTTCTTTATGCACATGTTTGTTTAAAAGAACTCTGCTCATTAGTCTATGGGATCTCTGAGAGAACATTCAGGCAAACAGGGTAAGACAGGACCAATATGCCTCTGACCTGTACAATCCCTGTTCCTCTAGGCCAATTAAATATTTATTTTCAATTATCTATGTAATTTCCCCCCCCCAACATCCAGGAAACAGAGTCTCCAAAGTCACCAGCAAATAATTAAGGTCAGATGATCTGAAGTTTTGCAAGCAGCAGCAGCAGAAAAATTCAGGTTAAAGCCAACCCAGAAACCTTATCTGCAATGTGTGTAGAGCAAACCTGGCAATAAAAGGTCTGTGAAATACTCTTTGGCTCCTCTCTGTCAGGTCAAGGATCTGACTGGCTTAATCAAGGAACCCTTGGTGCCTGCAAGGATCTTCTGTGGCAGGAGTGGAGGCTGCAGCCAGTGAGTTCACTGCAACATCCCCTCAACTCTGCATCCTGACAGGCACACCAAGGTCAAGGCTGGAAGGGAATTTCCCAGTTTGGATCTGGAAGCTGTACAGCCATGGGTGCTTGCCAGCATTCACCCCAGCACAGAACTGTGCACCAGGAAAACTGGGCAAGTTATGAGGGAAATGAGATTGATCCTCAAGAAACCCATTTTCTGCATCATAGTAGGGTATTACCAGTATAGCACTAGACTTGATTTCACTGGAGCACATCAAGACCACTTAACTTTTTCATGAGCTCATCCAGACAAGAGTCTGAGAAGAAATCCAGTTTAAAATTAACTTCAGGCCTTTAGACACAGACTTAACTTTCTCTGATTGTCCCCATAAAGACAAGGCTTGCACTTGGCAACTGGGCCAGGACAGACACACATCCTCTCCTTTGTAGCTGTAAAACTCTGCTGCAAAGTCAGTAGAAAACGATTTAACTGAATTAAATACACAAAGTATCAAAGATCATGGATCTGTGCAGAAATGGAGTCGTGTTTTCAACCGTGGCTGTGCAGGAAAGAGATCTGATTTGCACATTACCTTCTCAGTCCCCCTCTTCTTTTCTCGAGGCTGGTTCAGCTTAGCTTGTCTGTCCACCAAAATCTTCTGCCAGTAACGCTGTTCATTGTCACCTTGAAGTAAAAATAACATTGAGGTACGTGAATAAAAGCAGGACACAGGTAGATGTCCTGTTTTACCTTTCTAAGGTAAACACATATGGAAATACCTGACAGGGAAACCCAGCAAGTATTTCCCCTGTAATCCCAAGTTTCCTGGTCACAGGAGTCATACAGAATTCCTCTCTACATGTCACTAGCAAAAGGAGCTGAGTTTGAGCTGAAGTTTCACCACAGCACACGGAGGCCCTTTGATTTACTCATGTACTCAACCTCTGACTCATTTTAAACAACTACCAAAGAGAAAAAAAAGTAATTAGTTTAAGATCAACTGAGACTGTTTTATTTCATCAACACCATTGCCTGGGGACTCCATGAGCTGTCAGGACTGTTTGAACATGGCCAGCAATACAAGGGCAAATAACTGTGCAGCTTCTCTCAGCAACTGCCTTGTAGTTAAGTTGCAGTTTTCCACTGTTCCCTCTGGTTTGGGATGTAACTACCACAACAGGAACTTTGTGATGTGTTGCATGGTCTCACGGTTCAGCTACAGGGAAGTTTCCCAAAAATATTCCTGCAGAAGTTAAGCATCTCTGACAGTGTTCAGATCTTACCACCTTGCCACATGAAAAGCTGAATATCTTTATAGTAGTCAAGTGCTAAAAAAGTGAAATATTAGTGGGAAGGATTTAGTCCCTGCAGTAAAGAGCATTAAAGATTCCTTCCTTATTCTTATTCTCTCACCTTATGCCAGCGAGCAAAGCTAAAATCCTTACTGTGAGTCCCTTGTGCTTTCCATTCTCATTTCAATGAGACACTTAGAAAAAAAATCCTAATGCTATGAATGGAATGCTCCTACAGTGTAGTAGTTACTCCTAATCTACTACCACACTTTTATGTAAGAATACAAAACTAGGGACAATCAATCAGAGACAAACAGAGCACTCAGCTGTAAAAGCCAAAATTTGAAGTAGTTTCTGGATCTGTGGAACACAGAACACACTGCAGACAAATTTATCTCCAAATGACACGAACAGCATTCACTGAGTCTTAAATTTGGATGAACTTTGATATTATAGTGAAGGTTGATGCTTCTATTAAAGCTTTTCCTTCTGCAATCCTCAACGGACTTTTAGGGGAGTTTACAGCCCTGCACTCATGGAACTGGACTTCATGGGAGGATCTGTGCAGGAGTGGGGTAAAATCTCAATACACAGATGAGGGAATCTCATCTGAATTTTTTTTGCACATTTAGAATTTCTAGTGCACGTCTAGAATTTAAAAGCATTATTGGGAGAGACTTGCTCTTTCTACCTCTCAATTCCATAGAGAGATTTATCTACACTTGGAAAAGTAATCCAATCCAAGACATGAGGTAATTTCAGAAAGAAGTGATACACATTAAAATTAGGTTCTAAAGTAGAGTCAGTAAATATTTTTGTGTAAATACAATTAAGAAAAAAAGCTAATTCTGGTCTAAGTTAGCCAACTTCCTGAAAAATTAAGATCAATTAGTAGGTAAGTGCTAATCCCAGTGTAAGTGTATCCATGCTGTTAGACCCTGCTCCTGTTATTTCACACATCAGTTCAGTATTTAAGTCTCTTCAAAATTCTTTTGCATCATCACAATGTTCTATTCATAAAGCTGACATGTGAATTAAGTTCTACAGTGCATTGTCACTGAAAGTGAAGCAAATCAGTCCAAAAAAACCCCAGAATCAAGTTGGTAACAGGAAGCAAAGTTTATTTCTCTCTGAATAGTGGCATAAAACCCCTTAGAGTTTTAATATATAATTGTGAAGTTACTCACCAAAAACCAAGCAGCCTTTTCCCCAAACCAAGATATTGAAACACATCCCTGTAGCCACGATGTGAAACAATCCTTTCCACGGTACCTACATCTACTCCTGTACTTCCACTTAAAAAAAAACCAAACCCAAAGTCTTACCAGTGAGAATTTCGAATTTGCAGTTGTTTTTGATCTGGATTTCTTTGTGTGACTTCAGGACAGTCTGTGCATCCTCGGGAGTCTTGAAGCGGACGTGGCACTCGGTGTCTCCCTCCAGCATGTCAACATAAGCCACCTCAGCCAGCACTGCCAGAGCATCCTGTCAGAGCATGAGGGAGAACACACACCATAAATCAGCCTTCAGAAGGAGAAAATAAAAAAAAAAAGAAAGTGACTTTTGACCATTCCATTTGGAGGTCATTAACATTTTCAACAAGGTCACGAATCCATCAATCTCTTGTCAAATACTTTTGAGTTACTATATTTTCCTAAGGAGGTTATACCTGAATTCTGATTTTACAACATCTGCCCATCTCATCCTGCCCTCCAGCAACTTCAAGCAGTAATTTCTGAAAAAGTTGATTTTTTTTTTTTGCACAACTATTGTTTTACTGAAGGAGCATCAGTAATTATTAATTTTTCAACACTGTATCTACCTTTTCTTTAAGTTATTGGTGTGCTATAACAACTTCGACCCCACAGAAAATATAACACTTTATTCAATGCAATAAATATATAAACCCAAGCCCACTCATGGCAGATTATCTGAGAAATGAGCACTAAAGCAACTCTTTCCATCTTTATGAAGTGACCTCTGCCTGAGAGTTTTCACTGACAGCTAAAGGAAGAAGAGTCACAAATGTTCTTGCAGATGAAGTACTTGACTTGTAATTCCTGCTGTTAGGGAAATTAACCAGCACCACACATTCCTACTCAATTTGGTTCCCAGCAGGCAGCTCCACTAAGATGCTTCCATTCAGGAACCACACACTGCTTTTAACCCTCCACTACCAAGGGCAGCCTTAAAACAAAACAACAAGTGACAACGCTGTTAAAATCATTTGAGAGCCACCAAAAGCTGCTTTCCAGCCTTATTCTGGTATCCCAATGTCATGAGTGCATGGAAAACTACAACAAGTTGAGTGGAGTTTACAGCTACAAGAGTTCACTGGAGCTGGCAAACATGAGCAGCTCTGAGAAGCACCTTAAGACCAAAACAGGGAAGAAGTGTGAAATTAAAACATCCAAATAGCATTTGTGGCAGTTTTATGCAGCTGATGGTCCAGAAACACAGCAAAGCCAGGTTTGGTGGCAGTTCTTCCTTCAAGAGTTGCACAACCAATATGGTCAGGAAATTAAAAAACCCACAAAAAAGTCAGTTTGGTGCTAGTTTCTTAGTAAGTTTTCCTCCTGCCCACACCTTGTTAGGGAGTGACACAAACTTTAAACAGTGAGGTGTATTCTGCAGTCCAGGGGGCCCTCAGAGGTTACAGGGACAACTGCCACATTCCCTCAGTGTCTCCAGCACTGACAACTGCCTGCAAATCCACCAGATAAGGCTGATTATGTTGAAACCCCACCGTCAGTGGGTTTTCAGGGAGAGAAATTAGAGTCTCTCCTCTTGCTTAGGTTTATGCACCACTAAACCTCACACACTTGCCAGTGACTCGAAGTGGCCTCCTCAGTCATAAAAATCCCCTCAGAACTCCAGTTTTGACCCACATGAACCACTGACCTAAGTGGTCTGGATATCAAGTTGTTCAAATTCTTTCCAATTGTTATTCATCCAAAAGTGCAATTTGGGAAAGAAAATGTCCTGCCTCATACGTGGAAGCTTCAGTATCTGGAAAAACGCTGTTATTTCCTTTGGAAAACTTGTAATATTTCCATTTCAAAAGGATGCAGCTTAAAACTGGTATTTTCCTTAAAAGGGAAATATTCTGCTTAGCGTGTGTAACTTTTTTATGGTGACATCACACGAAATGGAAGGTGTCCTAAACGCTTATAAAGAGGAAAAACAGCACTTGGCATAGGAAAAAAAGTGACAGATTTGACAGGCTCTACTGCAGTCACTCTCCCTGAAATGCAATTTGTTGTTGCCAAGTTATTATTGGGAAAAGAAAAACAATTGTGGATTTTTTTTTTTTTTTTGAGAGAGAGAGCATTTTCCTGTCCCTTAATTCCTGGCAATGGAATTAAAAAATATACTTTTATATTAATGAGAGAAGCATTTTTATGGATTTCTTGTCAGGATAATTGGCACGGTGATAAATACAGAGCTCTGCATCAGTGTCCACTTCTTGTTAAAAACTGGAAAGCACTAGAGACTTCCTTATTTTTGTCCACATTTCCATTATAAACTTGACATTGCTCAAAGCACACTCAGGGCTTGTTTTTCCTTGGAATCATCCTCTTGAGCCCATTTTGCCCTTGTAAAATCTGCCTGTTCACAGGTAGTAGAGAAGAATCTGTAGGCAGCTACTGGCCAAATAGATTGACAAAAACCCACCCAGCCAGGCTGGGTTAAAGGGTATTCCATATTCAAACATTTGGGGGGCACGGGGAGAGGAGGAAAGGCCGACAGCTTCCCTGAGGATACAAAGGCATTACCTTGATGTGCTTCCTGCCCGGCAGGGGCTCGGTGCTGATGATCTTCACAATTACTCCGCTAACGAACTGAGGCCCCATTGTGTTGGCCTTGGCTGGAGGGGCACAATCGGCACTGGTGGCTGCTCAAGTTAAAAACAGGGGGGGAGAAAAACCACCAAAAGAAAGTTTTTAACTCTATTACACTGAGAAACCGAAGTTTGAGAGCATAGGAGTAACATAATGAAAACAAGCCTTCAATATTGTTACTGCAGATACACTGTGGTGTTTCAAACCAAGGTCAAGACTGTCCCCAGGTTCAAGTCAATCTAAGTAAAAAAAGGAAGACCACTTCAAGAAAAAAGAGCTTAGAGAGGTTTTTACAGTCCACAGTCTCCTTATAAGAATATTTTATATTCTATTGATTTGATTAATAGTTGAACCCTCAATTTGAGAGCAATCAAAAACATGCAGACAGGCATTGGAACACCAGTGTCAAAGTTAGGGAAAAGCACAGAAAACTCACAACGACAGAACAGTTCTACATCCAGAAAAGGTATAAATTTAAATATAAGGACATAATTACCAAGCTCCTTTTAAACATGAAGCAGATAAAGCCCAGTTGCAAGCTGGCTTTTTTTTTAATGCCTTACTTGGATAGAATTGTTTTGTGAATCACTTCAGGTACATTTAAGCCAAAGCAAATCAGGCCTGAGCTGCAGCCCCCAAAAAGCTGATTCCTGATTTACCTCTGAGGCTTTTAAGATTACATTTACCTAAAAATATCCTTAAGCTTAAGAAAGGCTACTGGAATATGCTGAAATGGCTTGTTTGGTCTTTATAAATAAAGCACCTTATCCCGAATCTATCTAAATACAGGAGGGACATTGCTTTTAGTATGGGGCATTCAGAGAAAGCATTTCAGAAAATAAAACCATGTGGCAGCGTTTCTGCAAGATCAATCTTAGATCCCTTCTGTTGGTGTAGCAGAAACATAGAAAAAAACAACAAAAAAGAAGCCAAGCCCCAGGATTACTTTTGTGGTTTTCGGATTTCTGTGCACAGGACTCTGTTTCCATCTCTCCCGCGGGCTCAAGTTTGATTTGAGTCATGGTTTTCTTTAAGGAGGCCATACTGGCTTTCTGCAGGGCCAAATATTCTTGCTTCAAACCCATCCACTCGGCCCTGGAAGAGGCAACACAAGCACAGCGTGGCAGTTGTAAACAAGCAAACATTTAGAAACTTCACGACAACTGAACAGTTTACAAACAACTTAAGGCAGACTTGGTGAGCAGTGCAAACCATTAGAGATCCTCCTGCATTTCAGTCAAATTAAACCTTGTTCACATCCGATTTTAATTTTTTTTATTTCGATTTAGTAAGCCAAGAGTTTCAACAGGACCAACCCATCGTTCCAATGGTCAGACTCCCAAATTTACTGTAAGGATTCAGACAGCAAACAGAACAGCTTGGTAAACTTGTGTTTTTCACTGGAACTACACAGAGCAAAGGCACTAAACTCAGAGTTAATTCAGAAACAGTGAACTCTAAATTCACTGAATTAGTTCACTGAACCCGCTCCTGTGTCACTATATTAAGAATCCCTCATATATTTTCTGGAAAAAATCATTGATGGAAAATCAACAGCTGGTTAAACCCACCAAACCCCCACCGAGATAAGGACATTCCTCACTATTCAAATGCATGTGGGTTAAAAAATCCCCCCCCATGGAAGCAATTTATATATTTACATACATTTAACATGGAGATGTTTCTGCAAACAGGGAGAGCTTTGCTCCACAGCAACACAATGCCCGCAGTGCCACTGTGAGAACGACTCATTGTTACCCTAATCTGTGCTATCAAACAAGCTGATAGAGGATTTTTAAAGAGGAGGATATCTTGTGGTAATGGTTTTAGCTGTTAACAGTGACAACTGTATACTTCAAAAAAAAAAAGCAGCCAGACTCACCCGGGATCATACATTCTCAGCAGAGCAGAGGCATTAAAATAACAAAAGGCCCACGTAATGATTCTTGGAGATAAAAAGGCAGCACCATGCCCTGGCAAGGCTTGGTATAAATACAAGCTGGTTAACTTGACTCCAAGGAAGAGGAGACCAAAGAGGATAGTGCAGGTAACTATTTGCAATGCTTGTGCTCTGTTTAAACTTTCTATCTCTCCCTTTTGGTAGAGTAATAGAAAATTTCACTAACACTCTCCATGTGTTGCAGCTTGCTCAGAAGCCTGATGGAAGTGGACCAGCACAATCAAAAACTGTCCTTTTTTTTTGTGCGTGTGTGGACCCCTTTTACTTTAACATGGAGGTGCTTTCTGTGATATAGAAAAAGTAAGTGCTTCCATGTTTTAGTAGAGGTGAATCCTGATCGCGATCCTCAGATAACTCCCGGGATTTTACTTTGGGTTTTTTGTTTGGTTTTTGAGGTTTTTTTGGCTACATTTCACTTGAAAGATTTTTTTTTTATTTGGGAAAAAGATGAAGAATTTTCGGTGGAAGCAGATCTTCAAGAGTAAAAAATTTTAATGGTTAAATAATTCGTTTTAAAGTTTAAAGGACTCCCTTTGCTTTAACATGGAGGTACCTGCTGCCTAAAAAAGTAAGTGCTTCCATGTTTCAGTGGCGGTGGATCCTCCTATTCCAAGGATTCTCAACTGAAACACCAGCATGTGTTTTATTATTGCATTGTCATAACTTAGTATATACCTTGGGGTGGGGTTTTTTAGTTGATATATTTAGTTTCTCCACCAAAGGACCCCCACAACTTTAATGTGGATGTACTTGCTTTGTCCAACCATAGTAAGTGCTTCCATGTTTTAGTGGTGGTGAATCCTTTTTTTTCCCTCCACACTCCCCTTGCTGGAAAATGTATCAAAATACCGGCAAAATGTGTTTCTAAATAAAGCACGATTTTCATCGGGGTACAGCACAAGATGGCAAGGACCCCCTCGACTTTAACATGGGAGGTACTTGCTGGATGCCCAAAAAGTAAGTGCTTCCATGTTTTAGTTGTGGTGACTCCTCAGAGCCCAACAGACCTGAATTAACTTGTGTTTTGCACAGACTTCCACTATGGGAATTTCAATCTACAGGCTAACACTGTTGCTAATATGCAACTCTGTTGTATGAAATTGGAATTGCACTTTAGCAATGGTGATGGACTGTTAGATATGCAGAGATTTGAAAAGCCTTCAATATGTAAGGGTTGGAAACGTTTTGTATAAAATGTATCAAGTTTTAAGCAATAAAATGTCAATAAAGTGTGCAAAAGATGACTCGAGAAATTCTCCTGCAGTAAAACACACCTCAGCATTTAAATAATTTAAAATGTTCAAATCTGTGGTACCAAAAAGCAATAATCCCCAAGGTAAAATAATTTACATATTGTAATAAAGTATTATCAGTAATCAAATCACGGGCCTTAAAGGTGAGAGAACTTCAGGACCACTTAAGGGTTTTGTTAGTCTTGAACTCACCCTGGAACAAACACTTAAACCTCTACCCAGTTAAGTCACCTACTTGGACAGGACCCGGAGTGGGATGACTTCTTCCCCCATTTTGTGCCTTTCCTTGTGTTTCTTCTTGTGTTTCCTTTTAGCTTTGGAAAGAGATGTGTCTTTTTTATCCTTGTCCTCTTCTGCAGAAACTTCTACTTTTAAAAAGATCAAAAGAAAAAAAAATGTTTAGTTGTAACACTGAAAAAGTTTAAATATATTCTAATAAAATCATGGAATCAATATTGGGGTTTTTTCTATTGACTAATTCATCAATTACCTGAGTTTTTACTCTTGTCACACATTACATGTGATTCCAATGCTGCTTCCCTAACTCATGGAACAAGCTAGGATCATCAGCATTTTCCTTTTGTACTTTAATGTATTTATCTAGATTCCCCTGCTGTCTCCATTTGCCAAGGCTGTCTGTTAACCCATACTTTACCTTTATTGATATGAACTCCTTTGAACTATTTTTACTTCTGATTCGATTTCCCTGCTTTGGTGTTGCAAGTTCTTCCCTACTCTCCATGCAGCTCCTCTCCTTGGAATGACTCCACCCAGGTTTAAATTTAACTGTAGGGAATACCACATGTGCCTAAAGTGACCTAACCACTATATCCACTTATCCATCAGTCAATCTGCCATTCCATTACATCCAGACATAGAAACTATGACAATATATCAGAGCTAACAACCTTTACCATTGGAGTTCTTTGGAGCTTCTGTAGTTTCCTCTTTCACTGTTTCAGCTTCCTCCTTTTCAGCGGTTTTCTTGACTTTTGGAGCCGATGTCTCCCCATCTGCTGAGCTGGTTCTTTTTCTCTTCCCAGGCCTGCTTTCACAAGTTACCTCGGAGTTTTCTGTTTTGTCCCATTTCCTTTTCTCCCTCTTGGAGGGCTGCTTTGGAGTCTCAGTTCCCTCCATTTCAGAACACTCAGATGTAGTCCTGTGTCTTTTTGATTTGGGTGTTGGCTCCATAGTAGTGTTGGTGTTTGATTCCTTTGGCTCTGCAGCTGCCTGGGCATTGCTCTCTTTCTTCACTTTGGACTTCTTTTTCTTCTTTTTTTTCTTCTCCTCTGTATGAAAAACACCACATTTATAACTGCCCATCATTACACACTAGATTAGATTAAATTAATTAAACAATCATGATACTATGTGTCATGAGAAACTGGGTTATTAAGTGAGATGCATCTCTGGGAGATGGATTTTATTTTTTCCACTAACAGTTAGTAGTGTAACAAAAATAGTGATAATTGTGAGGTGTATTAACATGATTTATCATAAAGCTTATGAGAAAGATGGGCAGTGCCTGAAGTCTGGGAAATTGTATTACACTACCAGAAAGCAGGAAAAACGTTTCAGTGACTAAGTTGCAACATCATCCTGTGATGCTGCTTTGTAAGTCAGAGTAGATTGTATTTATTGGAAACATGCCCAGATATCAATTGTGGATTCTTTCCTCAGCAATATCCTTTCCTCCAAGTAATTATGAATCATGCAAAGAGGAATTGTAAAGATGCTCTAAGAAGTTTATTCCTCTACACAGTGCTCCTGCTAAAAGAGCAAGAGTTCCACCTTTTTAGCAGCTGAGGCACAAAACTGATCCAAATAACTTTAAAACACTCACCCACTACAGTGCCGTTACTTGTGTTCAGTGTAGGAACAGGCTTATTCTTCACTGTTTTGGGGAAAATCCCAGGTTTCCGTGGTGCTTCTTCTGGTGGATTATTCAAAAACTTGGAGAAGGAAAATGAAAACAAACCATTACTAAAAATCAGGTTTTTTGAGACTCTCCATCCCAGTTACAGCCAGCAGTCCTAATCATATTCCAATACAGAAATACTTGTCTGACAAAATTTAACTACTAAAGACCAAACTCTTCATATGACAGTGACACTAAGAACAATGTCGACAGGGCAGAGGCACCAGCACTCACCTCAATAGCTTTCTCTGCTTGCTCTTTAGTTTCAAATTCCACAAAAGCAAAGCCCTTTGGATCACCAGTACTTTTGTACCGGGGTATGCTGACATAAACCACGTTGCCACACTTCCCAAACACCCTCTCAATCCAACTGTGATTGACATTTTTGGGAAGCAGTTCCTAAAAAAAGAAAGATTGAAGTGATCTGAGAACAAATTCATATACCTGTAACAAATGCATTACATACTTGACTTAGATGTTCATCTTCTTCCTGTGACAGATACCAAGGCCTCACCTGCAGGTGTATCTTTGCAACACGAATTATCCTGGTAAATTTAAAACCCTGGAGCAAACACAAGTCTGTACCATCTCAAAGCACAAGCAATGTTATACTTTTACTTTTTGTTAATTGGTGGCAATGCAGGTATCTCAGAAAGAGTTCTAGGTCAGTATAGAGTGATTGCTGATGAATTCCTGGTGGAAGCTGATGTTTTCAAGTACAGGAGTTAGCACCTGGGACAAACTTTGAAGCAGCTTCTTGGATGGCAAAACTGTCTGATTTTTATTTCTATAAAATCCTTAACACAGCAACACATTTCAGCAGCTTGCAGACATCATCTCTGAGTCCCCCATTCCCACTCTCCTGTCATGCCAGTTTCTAACAGGACCCAACTGAACACTTTCAAATCCCACTGCCAAGTTCTTGCCTAAAGAACAGAATGTCAGTACTACATTTGTTTTCTCCATGGCAAGTTACTGCACCAAAAGGTTTTCCTTGCAGAGAAACATTTGTCACATTCAGGTAGAAAACTATATTTGCATTAAACTTTGTCTGGCAGGGAAACATTTCCTTAGGGTTTGGTCTGAAGAGCCAGTTACTTGAAGCTTTAAAAATATTATGGGATGAGTTCCAAATAACAATACATATTTATGTATATAAAGACATAGATATAAGTATAAAAATATATAAGTATTTAAAAACAGATTATTTCAGAGAAACTTAACTTAGCAGCACTTCTCTTCTCCCCATTGCCACATCCCAGCTATTTACCAAACATTTAGCTGTGTATGGACAATGCAGCTCCCGACATTTACAGTATCTTATCCAAAAAAAGATAGGGACAAAGTATCCCACAAGTTCAAAGCAGTCCCTGCAATTGTGTTAGGAAAATATTGTGTCTGGCACATTGTATTTACGAACACAAAACCCAAACCACCTCTGCTGGGCTGTTGTTAAAGAAGGAACGATCAGAGCAATTCGGTTTCTCCTTATCTGGCTGGGCTGGTACTTAAGCCGTGATTATTGTGCATCTGTCTCAGGAACCTCGGTGCCTGCTAGGAATTACTAATGCAGCTGCTTCCAGCTACAGGTTCTTAGTCAGAAAAAGTTCTCTTTTAGAGGCAAATGGAATTCCACACTGGCTTCAATATCAGTATTAAAAAGAAAATGGCTTTATTATTAAAAAATGTCCCGAGATTTTAACTTGCTACAGCTCATCCATCAGATTTTTCCAAGCTCCCAGTGAAGCTGCTCATGAATATGATAAAGCTGACACATCTGAAATGCTATGATGATACAGACTTGTCCCATCAGCACAAGGTGTTTTCATTTAAATTAAGGAATCACTCCAGGAAAGTAGCCATAGGATAACATGCTAATAGAATGATTTAAAAAACAAATAAAATTAGGAGAATTGTAAGGAAAAGGCTTCGGTATACTGTGCCTATAAAAGAATGATGTTTGAGTGTTACAAAACCAGAGGCACTCGCAGTAACAGGTCTTATAAACAGATTGTACTTTTTAAAGTATCCCCGATGAACTTGCAAACTCAGCCAGAGCCTGTCTGATAAAACTAATTAAGCTGTTATTACAAAGCTTTAACTACATTAATGTAATTAGTAAATCTGCCTTGGTACCACTGGTGTTCCTCTAATGGCATTTACAAGAAAAGCCCAGTGAACACAGCAATAGCTAAATCAAATTGCACCTTTCCTCACCAGCATGTGAAGCAGCTCTCGGCTCAGCATTTAAAATGATTTAAGAAATTCCTGTACCAAACTAACCCCTTCCCTGCCACAGTCACTTGCAGCTCTGTATTCACCTGATTAAAATAGGGCTGCACAAGCAGCACCACCTGCCCAGTTCAGAAGACAATTGTTGCGTAAATGTATTTTTGCACTCTTTAATTAAATTGAAGGAGTTGATAAGAGAGGCCTGAGGGGGACACAAGGCCAGCCTTACCACATAGACAGTCCGACTGTCCACATCCTTTGGCTTCTCACCCAGTGGTTGGCGTCTTCTGATTCTGGTTCCTTCCAAGTCCAGCTAAAAGGAAGGAGAAATAAGCATTTTTCCATGAGGTTGTTGCCTATTTCAGCACCATTTCCCCAGCACCAGCAAACACAGAACCATTAAATGTTTAAAAAGTGAAAAGTGAAATACCTCTACAACAGAAGAGTTTTTAACTGCCCGAGCAATCAGCTTCCTATCAGTAGTTAATTTTTTCATTTTGTTGAAAGAAACAAGTAGTGATATGTCAACATCTGAGGGTGGGAAAAAGAGAGAACCAAGGTGTAAATTACAAAATCAGGGTAATGTTTTCTACTCAGACAGTTTTCACCATCAAAATTCAAGTTTCAAGTACACCTAGATTTCATTTTATTCCGTGCTAACCTTTATCAAAGGAATTTTGTTCTGTCACCTCCCCGCTGCTAACTGCTGTCTTTGAAAAGAAAGGAAGAAATCCCCCCTTTCTGATGCAGTTTTGCAAGACAAGAACAATTTGCATTGGAAACGTGCCTCTCCTTCAAGGCCTCAATTGAGTGTTTAAGCCAAGACAAAGAGCCCCTGCCTGCACTTCACTTGCAATGAGTCAGGCTGCAAAAACCCTCGGAGAAAATTAAGTATTCGTCTTAATAAAAATGTAGACATCCAGTGTCTACTATCTGAAAAATGTAGGATAAATAATTAATTACATAATAAATATATTTTAAGGGCTTGCTTTAAAAAGGGCTTTACAAGGAATAAAGTTTACCCTAAAGTTTGGTGGGTTTTTTTTTATAAAAACAAACTGGCTTAAAGGTCAATAGAATTGACGACTGTACCAAGCACTTAGAAAGGTACATTCCCTACATAACACAACCGGATTAATGATTTAAATGTCAATTAAATACGGACTCCTTAACAAAAATAAGGAAACACTTTTAAAAAAATTTTTTGTTGTTGTTGTTTTGATGGCAAAGTATCGCCTCTTTTTATACACATACTGCACTGTGAGTCCATTTGATGTAACATGTGATTTAACAATTATACTGAATGGCAATTTAGCACTCGTGGTACTGATTTTAAAAGCAAAAGCATATCAGTCACTGCAGCTGATGTGCAAATTCATTTCTTTAGAAAGTGGAAAATAACTTCAGGTCCAAGCTCAGTTTCCTACTGTGAAGTCACAAATCAACCACCTGAAAAAACTGTCTAGAGGAAAGACTCACAGTAGCCCTGTAAGCAAATAGACAATTTGTTATGTATCAAATTTGTACAGAAAACACACACTCAAGTGACTTTTTAATTTCTGCACATATCTACCCCACAAGACAAGTCACCTCCAGGAGTAAAATGAGCTTTGTTTGGTTTTTTTGTAAAATTATACAAAGAGAAAACCAGGTCACCCAAACAGTCACTGCCACCTGGCAGATGCTTTTCAATTATGGCTGATTCTAAAGGAAAGGAAAAAGAGACACTAAACATAAGTTATAAAATCCAGTATCTAGCTCTGATTCCTGAGCTGATGATGGTGATTGCAGCATGGAACTAACTGCCTTCCTCCCGGAGCATACATGCACCTTAAAATAACTTCTAATGTAGGGAAGAAAAAAAGTAAACCAAGTGTTTACTGAAATATACTGAATATAAACTTACACCCATCTCTGGACTTCTCTATTTGTTCTCGGAGAAATCGGTCTTTGTGGAGATTTACATCCCCAAACCAGAAATCCACTTGCTTGGCTATATCTGCCAGCACCTGTTTAACCCTTGACCTCTTCTTCTTCTCCCTCTCCTTTTTCTGTTCAGTGCTTTCCTCTTTTATGGCTTTGTCTCTCGCTGTTTCAGTCTCCATTCCTATCATCCTGTCAAATGAAAGGTAATATTAAAAAAAAATGAATTCAAAAACAGTCTTAAGGAGTACACATACTGGGTTTACCTTCTGCCCTGTTAGCAGAAAAACAAGATACTTGATGAAGAGAACCTACAAAAATCAAATCTAGAAAGGACAGATTGCTGGTATTTATAGCAGGTAAGGTTTGTTTTAAAAACCTGGCTTTATTATGTCAAAAATGCAAACCACTCTCAGCTGCCAAGGGCAGTAATCCAGTAGTGCCTGATTTTCATCAGACACCCCAAATCAGGCCCCTAGAAATTCAAGACTAACTAGAAGGAAGTGACTTCATGTACAGATTTACTTTTGAAAATAGAAAGCCGTTTTAATGCATTCATTAACCGTAGTTTGTTTACATTTCAATTTCTGCAGGTGAAAACTGCCAGTCATCACTTCAGTACCTCATTTTACAAGTGCAAGGAAAAAAAAGAAAACAACAACGAAAAAACCAAACCCAAGAAACCCTGTGCTGCCAGCAGCAGACAGCTTTTGGAAAATTAAATTAGCACAAAAATTCAAGTAATTAATGTCACAATCACCATATGAAAGACTTGTCAGCTCTGTGCCAAGGCAGCCCCGAAGGAAAGGGTGAGCAGAGCCATCAGGGAGGAAGCCCACCTGGCCAACAGGATGGTGAGATGGAAATGGTCTCCGAATTATTGTGCAAATCAGGCTCCCTCAGCCGGAGATCAGTTTCTCTCCCGCTGTGAGCTCCAGAGAGTGAAAGGTCAGCAATTACCTTGCAAAGATAAGTCAGGTAAAACTCCCAGCTAAGCAAGTTCAAGCTCCACTCAAGCCCTTCAGCAAGTTTTTTATATTAATAACCAGCACACTGCTTAGCTGGGGGCTACAGTGAGGTGCACCATCATTATGGGATATTTGGAGTGGCTGAACAGCGTTAAGTGACCACATCAACAGAGTGTGGCTCTGGTACAGCACAGATTTGTTTTGAGAAGCATTTTGAGTCATTCCCTCCCAGTAGAGAGAGGATCTCATTCAAGCTTAGAGAAAAAACAGCTGCAGGCCACGTTCTGAGCTTCCCTCTTCACCTGGTGCTTTAGAAGGGAAGTCTGGAGAAAACTACTTTGGGACTGAAAGCATGAAATCACACTCAAAACACTGAGTCAAGAGTAAATATCAGCTCTGATTGTGTACATCAACCCAAGTAATTAACATAGCAATCACCACGTGCCAAGGTACACGGTAGTTCGGATTTTTCACCTGGCAGCTCTCACACTGCCAACACTACTTTGGTAAATAATTAAAATCAGAAGACAGCAAAAGCAGCATCAAAACTTCATTATGATAAAGCAAAGCACCTCCTCAAACAAAATAAATCCTCAGTGCTTCTATATCCTAGAGTGAAAGAAGGAGGGGCAATGAACTTCAGGAAAGCAAAGATAATGTAAACCAAAATAGTTCAACTTCACACATATTTACAGAAATTTACCTATGTTCTTTAAAAAGCAAGCATTAAACATGTCAGTGCTAAGCTGTATTCAAACTCAACTTCTGTCATTATCAACATCTAGAAAACATAGTAAGCTTCAACTGTACTCCAAAGTCTGTAAGAATCAGGGTGCAGATATAAAATACACTTTATTATTTTAGGCAGTGATGCAAATGCCTGTTTCTTTGAGCATTTCAAGTAGCAAAATGGGGCAAAAGAGTTTGGGAGAGGAAAACAGAGTAAGTCAAAATATTTACTTAATATATTTATTATAAACTATGAAAATGTTTTTACATAGTCACTGGCAACACTTGCCCTTTAGTGCAGAATAAATGCAAGTATTTAGCAAACCTGAAACTACTTAAAGACATATCCTGTGATATTTTCACAGCAATGTTGACACAGGCAGAGCTGCAGCACTGAAGTTTCTGCCCTGCCTTTTAACTTCTGTTTATGTAAATTAAGCTAAGAAAGGACAAGAGATAAATACATGGGGACCAGCACAAATTTATTGACCTTAAAAACAGAGGAGCTCCTGCTTTTCTTCACTTTAAGCAACAAACCCAATACATCATTTTAAAACTACGTAACAGGTGTTTAACAGATTTAATGAGACCTGTGTGCTCACTGACAGAAAAGACTCTGCTTCCACCTCACAGGGATGAGTGTTAGGGCTGTTCCCAAACATAGGCAGACCCTTCTGTGTCAGTCCTGCCTTCCACCCTCATAAGAGGTGGAAAGTGGATTTATTTGTGTTCAGGATATAATTGGACACGGTACTCAATGCTCTGGTCTACTTGACAAGGTGGTGACTGGTGAAAGGTTGGACTTGATGATCTCAGAGGTCCTTTCCGACCTAAATGCTTCTATGATTAGAGTTAAAATACACGCCCTCAGCACCAGACTGTGGTGAATTGGATTTGCCTGTATGACACCAAACGGGCAGCCCAGCTCCCTCACCTTACTCAGTACACGGTTCTCACCCTCTGGTAAGTCAGGTGAATTCTGTGACCTAAAAACTAAATTCTGGTCCTTCACCCGCCGGGGAAAAGCAACCGATTAAGGAGCTGCACAAGCAGCAGACCTGGAGAGAGGAAGCAGCAGGTGTAAGTAGGTGGAAGCAGGATGGAGGTGGGTACAGAAGCCAGGCATTCTGCTGCCGTGCTTACAGCTGCATTCTACCAAAAACAACAGGCATGTACAGGAGAACCTCATCTTCTTTGCCCCTCAAACAAAGGGGAAACACACAGCATGAAATAGAGTTTTCTAGCCCTGACTGATATTGACCAGCACAGCAACCGGCTAAATCCTGCTTGTCCTTAAGTCCCACCAACACACACTTAGCACTGCAGTGAGTTGACAGTTCCGGTCAGTGATAATTCCAAAGTATTGTGCAGCCTGTTGCGTTTCAAGGGCACCAAGTAAAGGGATCGGCAGGTGCTACTCATGTAATCAGTCACAGAGCTCGAACGGATAAAGTATTAAAAAAAGCAAGCACAGACTAGCCCGAAGTGTTATGGCTCGTGTGCCCCCACCCCTCAACACTAGACCCTCTCCTCCAACGTGAGGCTTGACTCCCAGAGCCACCTGTTCATCGCCTCAGGGCGAAGCCACCTCAGCGCCCCGGGGCGACGCCGAGGGACAGGGGCAGCGAGGAGCCCTCGGGAGAAGGCTCCCCCGGCACCGGGAGAAGCGGGACAGCAGGGGAACAGGCTGCCCAGGGGCGGCAGGTCGGGGTTAGAGCGGGCGGCAGGGCGGGGAGCGGCGCCGCGCTGAGGGGAAGGGCGCCCGCCACCCCCCTGAGGGGACCAACCGCCCCCCCGCGAGGGCACCGCGAGGGAAGCGGGCAGCGCGCGAGCGGCGGGAAACACGCGCAGGGGACGACAGCGCCCCCTACCGCCCCCGCCACCACCGACAGACCCGCACCTCCCTGCCCGGTCACTGACCTGCCACCGCCACCGCCGAGACACCGGCTCGGGCCGCCCCGTGCGCGTCTCCTCCGCCGCCGTTCTCCCCGTCAGTGCCGGCACGACGTGCTGCCAACCTCCACCTTCCCCCCCCGCCCCTTTTAAGGGATGAAAAGCCCCGCGGCGGCGCCCGCGCGTGCGCGGCGGCAGCGGCGGGGGGCGCGCCCGGCCCCGCGCACACGTGACTTCCTCCCCCGCCGGGCGGCGCGGAGCGGTGACGTCACGCGGCGCGGCGCGGCGGGAAGTTCGAGAGGGCGGCGGCTGCTCCTAATCCCGGTCCTGGTCCTGATCTCATTCCGGTCGTGACCCCGGTCCTGGTCACCAGGTAGGATCGCGGGGTCACCGGCGGGGACGTGGTGGTGGCACATCCCTGCGGCGGCGGCGGCATTCCACCCGCAGTCACTGCGAGGGTTCGCATCCATCTATCCATCCATCCATCCATCCGTCCAGCTGTTCGGAAGGGGTAACTCCGTGCCCTCCGAGGGGTCCGTTTCCATGGATTTTCACCTCGCCGAGCACCCGAGGAGGTGGCAGCCACGAGAAACAGCGCGGAACTTTCCCCTTTTCTTCGTAAAAACCGTTCCTCGCTCATCCGAAGGCTGTTTTGTGATTCATTTTGAGTGTCATTGTGGGCTAACGGTAAATACGTGAAGGGGTTTGGCTTCACGGCTGCCTGGTCTGCAGAGTCGCTTGTGTGTGAAATATAATTCACGTTTTACCTACAGTTCTTGTTTTGCATGAATTGAACATGCATGGCCAGCTCCACACCTGGCACAAAATCATTCTGGTAACAGCCTCTGCGGCATTTGGGTTTTTTGGGTTGGGTTGGGTGGTTTTTTTTGCTGCAAGGAAAGTTCTTTTGAGGGGAAGACAGAAGTGAACTGACATGTAATTTTTTTGTTCATACATTTCATCCACAGCTCTGGTGAATTCTGACCATTTCCCTGCCTCTCAGGCTGTGTGAACATGTGGATATCTGTGAAATAAATGACTGTTTTGACAAAGCAATGGCCTCTCAAGAATTCACTGTAAGTGGTTTTTGACACTGCATACTATTATTATTAGGAATAAATTAAAAGACTGCGGTTGCTGGATTATTCAAACATCCTCTTATTTTCCCAACATTTTGCACATTTAAAACAGGTATTATACACTCACCAAAAGACAAAAAAAGCAAAAACGTGGCAAGATGGAGTTCTGAGGATTAGAGCTGGCAGAAATCAGGTGAAAATTCAGCTTTAATACTCTTGGATTTAATCCCATCTGCTACTGCTGGCCTGCCAGTGTCAGTCTAGTGGCTCTGTGAAATAACTGGTTATTTAAAATCCCATTTTTCCATTGCAGGCCACCTTGTTTGATGACAAAGGACAATGCCTGGAGAGCATTTTTCTAAAATCTCAGGTATAGTTTGTTTGGAGTTGTTATTTTAATGCCTGATTGTGCTTTTGTGCTTCAGGCAGCGCTTCGAACACTTGGTTGGTAACTAAAATAGCCATTTTTCTTGTGTGGTTACAAAGCTCTGCCACAGTGCAAATAATGGAAAGGGAAAGCAGCAGCTTCTTATTGATAAGTCTTATTGTTTGTCCAGAAGGTTTTATGGGATTTTATTCCTTTGGGGTAAAAGCAGTGTTATTATAGGGATATATTAAATAAGCACAATGTGAAGATCAGTGCTAATGCTTTCTAGTCTCTATATATATATATATAAATATTTCTTTACATGGCATCTGTGATATAGTGGGTCTAAATATCTGAATTTTTTACATATAAGTACATAAATCTCTACATCATTGTCTTTTATGTGCACTCTGCTGCTCCCTCCTTTCCAGGTGGCTGCTGGAGATAATTTAGAAAGTGAACGATATCTGATCACAGTCGAAGAAGCAAAAGTGAGTGAAAAACCTTTGGAAGATCAGCCAAGGAAAGCAGAAACTCCAGCAGTGGATAGAAATGGGGTCATACCTGGTCTGCTGCCTCCAAGACACCTCCCTGTTGGCCTGAAAAGGAAGTTCACGGTGTGGTCGTGTTTCAGGTTTTTATGTCTGTTGCTCAGCATTTGATCGCAAAATGTGGATTGATGTCCAATTTCTCTCCCAGGGGTTCCAAGGGCCACGCCAGGTTGAGAAGAAAATACCAGCTGTGGAAGAGGAAGAAAAACCAACACTGTTGCCGTTATCTAAGCAGTGCCAGGGGACTTTTCCATCCCAGTTTTATGTCACCTCTCCGTTATTTTCCACAATTCACAAGAAGGATGCAGACACAAATCTCTCTGCAGGCTTCCAGGAAGATGGATGGAGGGGCAATGCCAGAGAACACTTGTCTGTCTCCTCGCTGCTTTCAGCTCCATTTCCTGACAGATGTGAGGGGACAGAGAAGCAAAGCCCTGCTCAGCTCCTTGTGAAGCCAGAATCTCCTCTCCTTACTGGGCAAACTGGTCCCAGGGCAGTGTCCCACAACATCAGGAGCACGGCACAGATCCTTGCTCTTCTGAAGTCCAAACCAGCACAGGGACACGGAGAACAAACACCTGCACTTACACAAAGTCTCTCCAGGTTTCAGGCAGCCAAAAATGCGGATTTATGTGACCAAAAGAGCACGGCCCTACCTGCTTTTCCAGGTGATGCTGCCAAAGGAATCGTTCCGAACACTCAGCACCTGCCTTTTAGGAAGGGAACTGTAAATGACAGGAAGGACTGGAATGCTGAAATGCCTCTGAATTCACCTGAACAGCCTTTTGGTGAAGAAACCACAGGACAGAGACACGACAAAAAGGTAAATAATTTAAGTCAAGATTTACAGGATCCCTGCAACACAAATAGTTGCTTCCTGCCTGAGTCCACCGTAAGTAGAATGAGTGACAGCCAGTTTGTCCCGTCCTCAGGTGACATTTCACCTTCAGCAAGTCCAATCACCCTTGAAAACAATGCCTTTGGATACAGAGAGCAATCAGGGACTAAGGATCTTAGGGAGAATTCATCTGTGAAGATGCAGAGTGAGCTTCAGCTGAGACAAAATTCAGAGGGAGTGCCCAGTGACCTGGAGCTCTCCGGGGATGTAACACTGACTGAGGCTGGAATTGTTAGGGATGAGTTAAGTTTGCATGGCAAGGAGTGTAGTCCTGATGGAGAACTGATGGAGGTTAACTTTAATCTAATGGAGTCTTTCGATTTTAATGACACAGACAGTGAAGATGTGTGTGAAGGAGCTGTGAAGCAGCTCACTGAGGGAGACACACTTTCACAGAGCCCAGATTGCTCTGAGGGAGGAGATGGAGCTCCAAATGCTGTGTTGACACCTCATTCCCTCTGTGAAGGAGTGACACACAGCAAAAATGAAGCCAAATGTTCAACACTTGACAGAGAGAGTGATGGAAGTGACTGCACTGGGGGTGTTTTGCCTGAGCTTTGTGCAAACAGTGTCAGAGATACCAGGGGAGCTGCAGAAGAACCTGCAAACCAGAGCAGAACTGAAGTGGAACTTTTGGGTGGTGGACACAACATAAAAGAGATGAATGAAAGTCAGTTAAGTATCGAAGCCACAAGCAATAATGAGGATCTGGCTGGCTGTGCAGCTCTCACCATTAGTGGCACACCATGGACAAGGAACCAGCACTCTGATGCCATGCCTGGTGACACAAATGTTAAGGAATGTCACCCTGAAACCAGTGCATTTGAGGCAACTGGAAGTATTTCAGATATTTCTCCCAGCAGAATCATTTCTGCCATGGATAAAGAAGGTGTCACACAGCTGGGATGCAGGGAATCCCCAGCTGTTGGCTCAGAACACCTCTGGGGTAGCAGGAGTGATGGCATTAAACCAGGCAGTCCTTTGCTGGCTCTGTCACCAAAATCAGATCTTGGCAGTGGCTCATTCCAGTCTGTTGCAGAAGACCATCAAAAGGTGTTTGGCATTTCACATGAGGAAGATGCTCTCCTTTCCACGAGTTCTCTGCATCCTTTGGGAACAGGCCATTCATCCCCAGAGGGAACAGCAATAGTTGAAACTGAGGTTGAAGATGCAGAGAGTGTAAATGCTCCTCCTGCAGCCTGCAAAGGTGAAAGAGTAGGGGTGGACTCCCTGAAAGGCACAGCAGTGGCTGAAAACTCCCCGGGTCTCCCTGCTTTGGTGAATGATATCACTCTTCTGAGGGCTTTGACTCAACATAGCACAGCTTTAGAAAGCTTGCAAAAGATGGAGGAAAATACCAGCGTGTTCTGGGAAACAGAGACTTCCAAGGAGACATTTGAACCCCTAGGGAAAGATGAAGGTTAGGTCAGCTTCTATTTTAAAGTGAATTCTGTGTGTCTGTATCTGTTTGACTCCTGTACTCTTATCTCTCTCAGAGAATTCATGTTCAGAAATCATATTTTTTGAGTGGTGTGTTACGTAGGGTTCCCTCAGGCAGTTTTTAGTGTTTAAAGCAATGTTGTGAGCTCAGTGCCTTTGCTTTAGTTCAGTTAAATCCTAACTGTGCAATTCATTGCATGGGTAAGGTTTGTAAGCCCAGTAAATATTCAGATGTTTTCACATTAAAAACCCCAACTTTTACCTGTAACTCATTATGCTTTTCCATCTCTTGTAGCTGTAAAAGAGTTTACAGAAATGCCTTACTCAGAAAGTTTACAGGCATCTTCCTGTTCATACTTTGATTCTGCTGGCCTTATGGTAACCCATTTTTGACTACATATATTTATCTGCACAAGATAAATTCGTTTTCTACCAGGAATAAAATTCTTGGTGTTGATTATGAAGCTGGGAATAAACAGAGGATGTCCTCTTGCAGACCCTCTTGCCAATGAATATTTAGGAGGGTGTGATGAGAAACAATGCAAATTGTATTATTTAGTTACGTTTAACATCACATTAATATGTCTGGTACTTCTCCTCCCCTACCATTCAATCCCTAGGAATTTTAGCTCTTGGGTTGAAATATATTGGGAAACCTGTGTTTGATACTTCACACAGTAATAGTCTTTTTCTTTCAATCCTTCCAAAGCTTAAAGATTTTAGGCAACCAGAAGTTTTTTATCCTGCCCTGCGTTGTCCTGGCTTCCAAATTAAAAGGCTGTAATTGAAATGCTTCTTTTGTATAAATACAAGAGATTGCATAGCTTGTATTTTTCACTTTAAATGGTCATTAAATTGTTAGGTTAATTAGTTTTTGATACTTCTTCTGTGCAGCCCAGCTGTGTGGACAGTTTATTACAGGAGACAGAGCCATATATTCCACCAGTAGCAGCAGCCCACAGAGACCCTGGGCCATCTGACTGGCAACCAAAGGTACAATTTCTGTGGAGCTGAGGCATAATGAACAGTGTTTCTCAAACTGCAATGGAATGGTTTACTATTTGTAATCTATTGCAGTAAGTCCAAATAAAATTTTAACCAGTTTGGTAATGGGCTTCTCATCATTCTTCAGTATATTTGTCTGTGGGAAATTCGCCAGGGAGAGTTTTAAACTGAGATTATGAGGAAAGAAACAGAATTTTTTTTGTTTCTCTTCTGCAGTTTCCAACAGATAATTTTTGTTGTATGTCTGAGAAATACCTTTAGTGACTGCAGATAGTTCCAGAGCTGTATTTATTTCCAGTTAGTGATAATTCCAATGTATTGTGTAGCCTGTTGTATTCCAAGGGCACCAAGTAAAGGGATCAGCAGCCAGTGAGATCATGCTGAGAGCTCCCTGCTCCCAGCTGGGACAGCAGCAGTACCCACATAACATGGACTTTGCAGCTGAGACATTTTTCTCACCCCTGTTTTCAAGCAATAATGGCCTTTTTGACTTCGGACAGGTAAAACATTAACTTATTTTCTTGTCTGATCAGTCCCACTCTGAAAAACACAAGATAAAGCAGCTGAATTTCTAGCAAGTTTTTGCTCATCCTTTTTTTTTTTTTTAAGTCTCCAGGTTCCAGAAGTCTCCAGGGGGATGATCTGGATGTTATCAGAGAAGGGAATTTTCAAATGGAGCCTGATGTGATGGAAGAGTCAAGAATAAATCAGTCCCGTAAGTGGAAGTACAAGTTAAAAGGCAGCAATTGGCCTCAACATTTCTGCATGACTTCTGTCTTTCATGTGTTTTTCCTAGCACTGGCATTCCACGTGTGTCCTGAAGTGCCAGCATGGACAATGGCAGGCTCACCTTCACATTCTGCTCTGAGACAAGCACAGTGGACTTCCTGGGAACCTGGCAAGGTGTGCATTCACTGTCTGTTCTGCATATTTTTGGCTTTATTTCCTGTGTGTTCGTGGCAGTTTCTTATTTTTGACGCTGTTTTATCTCAACTCTGAGACACATTTCAATTGTTTAGAACGATGAGAGAGAGAATAGTGATAAAAGAGCTATAATCAAGGGGTTTTTTCCAGTCATTCACTTAACATATTCATTCTTCACCTGTAGATTTCCTCAGAACTGCCTTCCTCATTTGATCCAGATTCTACAGTTTCTCCACCTTCAGGAAACGAGGAAAGCATTGGAGACATCCAGGAGCCCTTGATACAAGGGATCTTACCACGGGAACCAGAACTCCCAGATGTTTTTTTCAGTAAGAGATTACAGTTTATAATTGCACTTTTACAGTATTTTAGCTGGAAAAGCTCTCAGGATCTTTGAAGCACAGTGAGTTGTGCTATGATAGACAATTAATCTGCCAATTCTGTTCTCCTGAAAGAAACCTCAGTGGAGTGATTTAGTCAGTCATATTTATGGTTTTATTTACCTGCTTTTAGTTTTCAACTGTCACTGCTGATAATGAATTTAGTAAGAAGAATGCTTTTTGGTACTAAAAGCTTATTTATCTACATTGTTTAGTGTTAATTCACATTTTGGGGGTGATCTTTCTGTAATATTAAGCTGGGTGTTTTCCAGTTGGCATCTGTCAGTGGCCTACCAAAACTATCAGATTAATGGCCCCTAAAACACAACTATGTTTAAATAATTGTCTTTTATACAAATAGACTGGCTAAATAATGTGTTCTGAATATGGGGATTTAAAAGAGTTAAAATTCATTACAAGAATCACACAAAATCAATCAGGGTGTATGGAAATGTAGTGTAGCACTGCCCAGGCATGATCCAGAGAGCTTCCCAGTTAAAAGACAGGATGTGAAAGGAAGAAGTTAGACTTTCTTTCCTTATCTTCCTGTACATCTGAAGTGCCATCCCTGAGTGCTACAAGTTGCTTGTAAGATATATTTGCCCTGCAGCAGGGGAGAAATCCAGCTATCCAGAGGAATGCAGCCTGCCAAGATCCAAAGCCACCCTTAAAACACGGACTCCGTTTGTCACCCTTCCTGCCACCGAGGAGATTCCTGGCGCGTTTTATCCCACTGACAGCGAATTTCCTATTCCAGTGGAATTTCCTATGAGTGCTCCCGGCCCCGAGGACAGGAATTGTGAGACTGCCGTGTTTGGGGAGTACACGGAAGACGGACAAAGGGAATCTGTACAGCCCCTGCTCCCCAAGGTGACTTCCCAACACAGACAAAGCAAGTGGCTGAAGTATCAAAACAGCGCTCAGAGCGACTTGATCCCTCACCCCAGCGATGACAGGGAAGAGACTGCTGACATCTGTGCCCAGAGCATCCTTGGAATGCTGCAGGGTGACACGGGAGAGAGTGGAGCTGGGAATCAAAGGGCTCCTGGTGCTGCCCCTCTGCTGATATCCAAGAGCTCCCCTGGGGAATGCTGTGCAAGCAGCACCCCCCCGGATTGGATTTCTGAGGGGAAGTTACTTTCCCCGCACTTAAGTCAGACACCTTTGGCTGCGGCAACACAAAAGGTGTTGAGTCACCTGAGCTGCCACGCCGGAACAGGAGAGGGCCAGGTGTGTAACTCTTCAAGCAAATACACTTGTAAGTGGCAGAAACACATTTTTTCCCAGCCAAAGGAACTGCATTTCTCTGTATTTCCTGCAAGATATTATCAGTGCAACTGGGTGAAATGTTTCTACCTCTTGTAGCAAAACAAATGAGTCTCAGCTGCAGAACAGCAGCTGCTCGACAAATTGTTTGTAAAGGTAATTCCTGGGCACACACAGTGCCAGATTTAGGTTTTTAATCAGAATGTGGATGGCAGGAAGATGAAATTAAAAGCTGTTGGCCTGTCTGGTCATTTGTAATTGGTAAGAATTTTCAATAAGGGTTTTTCTAAATTTGAAAATCCGCATTGTTTCCAAGAACACCTATAACTTGCTTCAAAGCATAGTCTCTGATTTTAAAATACTTCCAAATTTTTTAAGTTTTACCTCTGGAAAAATAAGTTAATTGCATTGAATAAGCACTGATACTGCATATACATACATATATATAACATATATGTGGTTCTGCCTTCCCTAACCTTGTACTACCTTTGCTGTATTTTCATCTGGGTAATTTTTTTCTGTGCAAAAATACTGTTAAAATGGGGTTTGTGTGCTCCTTCCCGTAGCACTGAAAAACATAATTTTCAATTACATAATTTACAGCCTTTGGAAGCATTACTGCTGCTTGTCAAGGGGCAGATTTTAACCTCGTGGTGCATCTTAAATGGCAGCCCATGCTCTAAGGAGAAGTATTTTTCTCTTTCGGGGTCTTGCAAGTAATAATGGTTTACTTTTCGGGGTCTTTTTAGGACATAAGAATTTCTGAGTTGTCTTTTCCCAGCGGGGATAAAGTGAAACGTGCTAATCTCCCTAAAAGAACGATCTCCATCCCAGCTGTGTTCCGGTCTCATATTCATTACAAACAGATTTTCAAAGCTGCTCTGACAGGTGAGTCTGACATGGTGTTGTGTAAAATGCTGTCATTTTTAAACAGGGTATTTCTGAAGCTTCACCAAGCAGGATAAGAGGGACAGAAATCCTCAGCATCACCCATTAAAACAGCTGGCTGCATTTGATTTTTTAATATGTCCTGAAATGTATTCAATCTATGCCCAAAATGGCAAAGACAAACCAAAAGAACAGCACACTTTGTTCAACAACAGGAACCTCCTGCTTGTTTTCTAGTCTTTAGATTCCTAAGCTTTTTTTTTCCCCTGCAATGCATGGATTTTGCAGGTCACATGGTTTCTTTTAAGACTCAGATTAAATATTTCGATTTAGGTTTGAAATCTGCAAATGAAAATATATTTGTTTGAACGCTGTGTGCCTGCATAAGCATTTTAAGGCTGTACTAATTATTCCTTTCTTTTCTCCTTTCTCTCTCCAGAGCAATTGAACGTAATGCTGTTTGAGCTGTCCCAGAGATTGCACAATGCACTCTCCAAAGTGGACATTTCATTTTACACTTCAGTGAAAGATGGGCAAAGCCAGAGCCAGGGAAGCTGTGCTCCACTCTGCAACCACATGCACCCTGCTAAGCTGGTCATGGTCAAAAAAGAAGGCCAAAACAAGGTGCTGTTTATTCCCTGTGGTTTTACAGTTTCGGGTGAAAGTGCTGGTCCTTTTTTTTTCCCCTTTTTTCCTTGCCTGTTATAGTGCTCATGGTCTGGTTTTGCCCCTGTCCTTTGCAGGGTCGTTTGTTCTACGCCTGTGACGCCCCGAAAGCCGAGCAGTGCTCGTTTTTCAAGTGGATAGAGGATGTGAACCCCACACAGGCAAAATCCAGACCCAGTGCAGTGCTCCATGATGTCAAAAGCATTGGGACGTACCTCAGAAGCCAAAGGATTGCTCTCTATGAGGAATGCCAGCTTTTGGTGAGGTATTCCTGAAACCTTCTGCACTTTTCTCCAGTGCTGTGTGAATTCAGGTTTTGTAAATATTCCAGCAACTCGGGATTTCAGCAGCATTTAAGAGACGTTTTCACTGTGTTTAAAGAGGTTACAGTTGTGTAAAGACATGTAAGAGCCAAATTAGTGAGGGAATAATATTTATAGCAATGGCATTTCTTTTTAGCAAGAATCAGAACTACTTAGCAGCAACTTGGTTAATGAAATCCCTTACAGTTGCTGCACTTGAATTCTTGTTCATTTAATCACTACCAAGAGAATTTGATTTATTCTCTGCAAGATTGTCATTTTAACAGCAGAAATTGTATCAAGGGCTAGTCTGTGCTGCTTAACTGTGAAGGAAACAATTTCATGATGGCTGAACATGAGAGAATTTTGCAAGAGAAATGCATTTAAAACGTGTTAATGCAAGATGATGAACAGGCACCACAATCTGTGTAATGTGGTCCAATCTGTAGAGCTTTCTCTTTTTTGGTGCTGAATCCAAAATGTGCCAATAGTTTACATGCTTTTCCTTAAAATTACCATTTCCCAGGAAAGCCTTTGAAATTCAAACCCAGAAGTACAGTAAGTTCAAGAAATTTATGAATACACCTGCCAGCTTAGATGGTGACTCCAAACCCAAATTATACCTCAAATTAAGCAAAAAGGAGCATTCTTCTCTCTACAGCAAAGGTAGGCACATCCCAAGCATCTGATTGCAAAGGTGGCAGTAGAAGCAGCTTATGAGAACTCTGTGGTTTGTTTTAACAGATGATATTTGGGTGGTTTCCAAGACTCTGAACTTTGATCCCATTGATACTTTCATTGCAAGCAGTGCTTTCTTTGGACCATCCTCCAACAATGAAATAGAATTGCTGCCACTGAAGGGCTACAGTCCCTCCAACTGGAGATCAAACAGTGAGTTCTACACCAAATAATTCACAATTGTGGGGAACAACTACAGAGGAATCCAACCAACAATGAAGGAAGATATTAGAATTTCCCAAATCTCAGACATGATTTAATTCACAGTATTTTTCTCTCTTATATCTTTGAATATGTAATTTGAACGCAGGACTTGATGTAAGTAAACCTGCAAAGCAGCTGGTAAATTCTAAGTGAGGGAGGAAGAAATGAGAATAATATAAATAATGTAGTAAATAATACAATATAGAATGCAAGTTGACTGTCAGTGTGTAAGTAACAGGAATATGTTGGTACTGTCCTTGAAAAAAAAATATAACCCAAGCTACTCACTATGGAAAACACATTTACATAAAAAGCCATGTATTAAATCTGTGGTTTTGCAAAAGTTCCTTAGTTTTGCTGTTGAATTGAGCCAAAGTTTGATGATTGGTTTGGTTTGTAAATGAAAGAGACGAAGTTGGCTAATTTCTCTTTTGGTACTTTATAATTCGTCTACTTAGCTGATGTGAAATCTTGGCTCATTTAATTTCTTCCTACTTTTATTTTTCTGTGGCCTTTTCCAGTGTGTGTTCACGCCCTGCTGGTTTGTAATGCCAGTGGGGAGCTGGCATCCTTAAGAAATATGGAGGAGCACTTCAATCCATCCACATTCCCACTAATCCCATACCTACTAAACATGTAAGTTACTGTTCAGTGATACTGTGAGCAGGTCATAAAACCTCAGCAGTTCAGTGCTGGGTCACTGAGAACATCAGAACCAAGAGATACAAATAATATTATACCACAGCTTTGGACTGCTTTTTGTCCCCAGGAATTTCCGTTCTGAAAATGCTCCTAAAAGAGTCGACAGAAGAAAATTTACTCCTCCTGCCATGAGGCTGAAAAGCTCAGTGATGGCTGGCCCTGTCAGCTCTGAGGTGGCCACGGGCCTGGCTGAAGAGATGATCCAAAGGTTCTCCCTGAACCCCGACCAAGCGGCGTCGCTGCTCCACATCGCTCGGATGATGAGCTCGTGTGGGAACATCACAGCCGAGGAGGAGCAGCAGAGCCCCCCCATCACAATCATACGTGGTACACAGCACAGGATGGGGAAATGTGCTGCTCTTCCACCTGTGCAGAAAGGCTGATTAATGTGTAATGCCAGTGGTAGGGAAATATCCCAGAGATGAAACAGCACATTTCGTTCCTTCATCATATATTTATAATTTCAGGCAGACTTAAAGTCACATTCAGTGTTGACTTATTTGAAATGTAGCCCAAAAGATGAGCTTGAATAAACTTCCTGTGTATGGAATATCCCCTTCTGTAATGCTGCTGTCCTCACCCACTTCATGCATTTCCTGAGAATTAATTTCTGTGTGAGGCCCCTCTGAAATGTCCCTTGACATTATAACATCTATTCTGTCAGCACAGAACTTTTTCATCCTTGAATTTGCATTCTGCCTTTTGCAGGATTTCACAGAAGAATTGAGGTTTCTTCCTAGAAACATCTGTACACAAAATCAGAGTGATTTATTACCTTCTACTTCTTTCTTTTCATATTAACCCCCTTTTTTTTTTCATGTATCAGCATTGCTTAATTATAATTTATTTTTCTATTACACACTATTCCTTGCTGGTTTATACTGCCTTCTATTTCACTTCTTGTAACTTTGGCTTTTGCTTCCAAATTACCAGGTGTTTTTGGAGCTGGCAAGAGCTACCTGCTGTCTGTGGTGATCTTGTTCCTCGTACAGCTCTTTGAAAGCAGTGAAGCTACGGAGGGTCCAAGGCCAACTCCGTGGAAACTTCTCATTGCTTCTTCCACCAACGTTGCTGTGGACAGGATACTGCTGGGGTGGGTTACTGAGGCTTTTCCAGCCTCTTCTCCCAGAAATGATAATGCACTTCCACGGTAAAGATCAACGTGTTGGTATTAAAAGGCTGAGTTACTTCATCTGGTTAAGCACAGGAGTTTGTGTTCTGATGTACCTTTTAAAACCACTTTTAAAGTTTTCAAGATTTTTCTATTTCTGTGACATCTGTCATCTCTTTTTTCTCTGAAGCCTGCTGGAGCTTGGATTTGAGGATTTTATCCGAGTGGGAAGTATTAGGAAAATCACCAAAGCAATTCTTCCCCACAGGTAAGAAACTTGTTCTTTATGGGATTTGAGGCAATTTGGGATAGGTTAATACATTGTTTTAAAGCACTTTGATATATCAAGTATGATTATTTTAGTACATTTTTCCAAGCACTGCTGTTTTCAGTTGCTGCAATGCATGTCACAAAACCCTTTTTGAAGTTTACATGCAGGCTCAGGAAATGAAAACGAGCAGCTGAAAGAGCTGCTTGCTCTCATGAAAGAAGATTTGACTCCAGCTGAAAAAATATACGTCAGGAAGAGCATTGAGCAGCACAAACTGGGGACCAATAAAACCATCCTGCAACAGGTACAGTCAAAGAGATGGGATGGGAAAGTGGGGATTCCTTGTGTCCTATCCACAAAACCCACCGTATGGAAACTGGGAATTCCCTCTCACACCTGCCAGACTCCTAATTTTGATCTTAGGTTTGATTCCACAGGTATAGCTTAGTGTCTTACCTGTGCAGGACTTTTCTAAGTTGAACTTGCAGTTCTTTTTCAGTGATATAAGACAGAAACTCTTTTGTACTCGACTGCAATCTGATTTAATATTGCCAATTTAGTTTTCAAGGTGGGCAGAGAAAAATTTCTCAGTACAGCTCATCTGCACTGTCACCTTGAAAATAGAATTTATGTAGACATAAAGGTTAAAAGATAAAGACTGAGCTAAATCTGTCCTGGAGCTGTGTATCAACACAGCTGTGTATCAACCACCAAGGAGATTTCAAATATATTTTAAGCACCTTTTCATCAAACTATTACCTTTTAAGATTACTACTCCCTGTAGAAAATTCTCCTCAATTTCTGGTCTTTCCAGTTATTTCTCCTCAGTCCTAGACTCAGAAAGTCACAGCTTGTTGTAAAGCAATTGTAACAAAGCAGATCTGAGCAGTTTATTGAGAACCAGTGACATGAGATAGCCTGTAGCAATTCTACTGCTATAGTTATGGACTGCACAGAGATGAACTATCAACTGACCTTAACTTTTTGTCTCCCCATTTTCCCCTCACTACTAAAAGGTGAAAGTGGTTGGAGTGACCTGTGCTGCCTGCCCCTTCCCCTGCCTGAATGCTCTCAGGTTTCCTGTGGTGATGCTGGACGAGTGCAGTCAGATGACTGAACCTGCTTCTCTCCTTCCCATCGCCAGGTACAGCCTTCCTGTGGGGCTTCAGCAGGGAAATAACTTGCTGAGCAGTGACACAACCTCCTGGAAGTGCCAAACCCCACATCTTTTTAAGTACATGAACCCCGAGGTCTCCCCTTAGAGAACAAGGAGAGTAATTTTAAATGGAGGCCTGACCTTAGGTGCTATTAAACTGTGGGAAGATGGAGCAGGGAGGCAGATGGAAAGCAATGTGATGTATAAACACAGCACACACACTTTGGTTATGAACAGTTTAGCCTCATTTTTAGAACTTTTTTTTTTTCATGGTTTTTCCCGTTCCCATTCAGGTTTCAGTGTGAAAAGCTCGTCCTTGTTGGAGACCCCAAGCAATTACCACCAACTGTTCAAGGGTCTGAGAGTGTCCATGAGCAGGGATTGGAGCAGACCCTCTTTGACCGGCTGTGCTTAATGGTAGGTACTGCCAACCACACCTTTGGAAAAGTGGAGGGTGGAACTGTAGGTCCACTAAAGTCACCAGGAAAATTCTGGTTTAGATGTCAGAGGATCAGAGTTTCAGCCTTGCAAATTACCACGGAATCATAGAATGGTTTGGGTTAGAGGGACCGGAAAGGTCACCTGATCCAACCCCCACCTGACATGGACAGGGACACCTTCCACCATCCACTACCCAGCCTGGCCTCGAACGCTTCCCAGTCACCCTTTATCCTCATTTTTTTAGGGACATAAAGCAATCCTCCTCCGGACACAGTACCGCTGTCACCCTGCCCTCAGTGCCATCGCCAACGAGCTGTTCTACGGAGGGAACCTCATCGACGGGATTTCCGAGGAGGACAGAACTCCTTTACTGGACTGGCTCCCAACACTGTGCTTTTACAGTGTGAATGGCATGGAGCAGGTAAGCTCCTGAACATTTCTTACATAGATTTCTTATATAAATAAAGTCAATATTGTAGTTTTCCCTCCATTCTGCTTGTGAGAGCTAATTTGGAAATCTTCTTCCCTCTTTCCAGATCGAAAGAGACAACAGCTTTTCTAACATGGCAGAGGCTCACTTTGCAGTCAAGCTCATCCAGGCTCTGATTGCCAGTGGAATAGAAGGAGCTGCTATTGGTGTGATTACTCTTTATAAATCACAGATGTATAAGGTTTGTGTAGTGGATCACCAATAAGGCGGTTTCTTAAATGTATTTTTTGTTCTAAACACAGGTTTCATTTCAACTAGGGAGAGCCAACTAGAAGTGAGAAATGGGTAGTTTGCCATAATTGCTCTTTTGCATTTAAAAAGTACCTATTTTTCCTTGTAAAATTAATAAAACTATTTTTAATTCAAAGAATGATTAAAAAATAGATTTTCAATTTTCCCTCCACATTGCACTCTCTAGTTTCCTAGTTCACATCCTGTAGAGGCTGAGATTTGTTGGGTGCTTTCTCAAGGCAAGTGGTTGACTCTGAGTAGCCAAACTCACCCCCTTCCCCATTTCTTTTGCCCACAGATTCAGGGTTTGCTCAGTGGGGTTCACTCTGAAGCTTTTGAAGTGAAACCTGTCCAGGTGTCCACTGTAGATGCTTTCCAAGGTGCTGAGAAGGAAATCATTGTCTTGTCCTGTGTCAGGACGAGACAGTTTGGATTCATAGACTCGGAGAAGAGGATGAACGTCGCACTAACGAGGGCAAAGAGGCATTTGCTGATTTTGGGAAACCTGGCCTGTTTAAGCAGGAACAAGCTGTGGGAAAGAGTAATTCACCACTGCAAAGGTAGTATTTTCTTTTCCAGGGTTTTTGAAACTGTGCAGCTCAGCTTCTTTAATTAAACTATGCATAATACACTTTCTAGTGTGTACATATGCTATATAACAATATATAAAGTATATATATGCACACTATATAAACCAGTACCTTTATTGCATATAAAATCTAATTTTTAATATTTATTGCATATAAAATCTAATATATCACAGGAAAATGCACATTGCCCATTTGCAGCTTTACCTGTAAGCTGCGTTTATACCCCAAGAGTGTATTTTTTATCCAGTAATGGGACTTTACCTGCTTGGCTGACATCAAAGAAAGCATCTTGTTAGTGGCCAAACTCTGAGGAACCACTTTCCAAGCAGAAATATCACATCCAGTTGATACTGGGGGAAATCGATGTCGGCACAGCCAGGGGCTGATTCCATGATGGATGCTGTAAAGAGAGAAGTAATTATCCTGTTTATTGCTGGTTTTAGGATGGGAAAATGGATTACAAAATGCAAGCCAGTGCGAGCAGCAGCTCAATGACATTCTGAAGTGCTACTGGGAAGAACGGAAGGAAGAGGAGCGGAGTAAGAGGGAAAAATAAAATGTGTGCCTATTTTATTAATATTGTTTCTCTACAAAATTGCTAATTTAATATTTATTTAATGTGGTACTTGTTTGTTTGTATGTCATGTACTGATACTTCTGTTTGACCCTGCGTTTATTTGACTAAAACTGAATAAAGTGACTTTATTTACCTGATAACCGAAAATAAAGTGACTTTATTTGCTTGTGAAGTGAAATCCTTTTATGCTTACAAAGTATCCAATACTATTAATGCTACTTAGTCTGAAGAATAACAAAATGATATTTTAGAACAATTCTGTTATCTTGCATGTTTACAGATATGTCACATCCAGGAAGGAGCTTGGCTAAAACAATTAAAAGGCCTCCTTCCCAAGCTCTGGAGAGCTTGCAGAAGGGCATGGATTGCCAGGACAATGGAGAGTTTAGATGGGATATTTGGAAGAAATCACTCCCTGTGAGGGAGGTGAGGCCCTGGCACAGGTTTGCCCACAGAAGCTGTGGCTGCCCCATCCCTGGCAGTGCCCAAGGCCACACTGGACGGGGCTGTGAGCACCCTCTTGTAGCAGCAAGTGCTGTGCGGTCTGACAGGTGCCAAACACACCGAGAATTCTCTATTTTTCCCGTTTTCCCGATCCCAGCTGACTTTGCCCCCCTCACTTTCCCGCTGCCGCCAGGTGGTGCCACCCGCCCGCCGGGCGGAGGTGGCGGCCGCAGCCGCGATCCGCCCCGCTTCATGGAGCCAGCCGGCCACCGCAGGGCCGCAGCACCGCTCCTCCCTGAGGGGGAGCGCCGGGTCCTTCCGCGCGGGGCAGGGTTGAATAGCGCCTTTAAATTACTCCTGACACCTCTGTCCCAGCTCCCTAAAATCTCAATCAACAAGCCATTAGAACTCGACGGGAGTAAAACTAAATCCTCGTTTAAGTGTATTTATCCGCTCTCTTTTCTCTCTTTCAAATGCTAAATCCATTTCAGCATATGCCCCTTCTTTCTCTCGCCTTTCTCTAAAGACTGGCAGCCCGCACTACTCTTGTAAATATGAAAGATGCTAATCATATGACATATCACGTCTCAGTCGGAGCCTGGAATAAAGCCTTGAGATTTGGGATCATTGCCTCCAGACAACAGCTTCATCAGCCGGAAAGTTGGGTTTTTTTCTCCTTTCCTTCAACTCTCAATCCCTTCTTTGTCTGAGGGAAAATGCAGCCAACTCGAGCCACCCCGGCCATATGGTTCACTCTGTGTTTTCTTAGTTGAATCCTGAATTGTTTGTGACTTGCGAAGAGGTTTTTTGGGTGTGGTTTTTGTTTTTTTTTTTTTTTTTTTGGAAGTGTGTATAAAGACATAGTAGAGGCTGCCCAGACCAGGGCGGCTCTGCAGGGTAACTCCATGTTCTTCACGTGTTCGCTTCACACACTCCTTGCGCCACCTCACCATACAGCCAAAAAGTATAAACCCACAGACACACTTTATATCAATAACCCATTGCAGGTACCTGGTATTTTTCCCCTTTTCTGGGCAAAAATATCCAGGTGGTTTTCCCTTTTCTGGATGGAAATGCCTTCTTAAAACACCATTTTGCTGTGTCATTTTCTCACGTCTGTAAAACAGAGTTATTGCTCACTGGCAAATCCATTCTAGAAATGCCTCGACTAAGAGAAGCCCCCAAGTATTTTGAGTAAGGAAAAGTGGCTTTTAAGATGCGTATAAATTAGGAGCTGAATGAGTTCGGCACACCCGAGTTTGGATAGCCCCCCTGTTTGATAGCCAGCCTGCCAAATTTTCTTTCTCTCTTTCCTTACACAAACCCCCCAAAAAAAGGCCCTTTCACCAAATCATTAAATTCTACAGAGGTGGTCAAGCTAGTCCTGCTTTTCAGGCGTTCGAGAAAGAAAAGGGTCCTTGAAGTTTAGAAGATGCCCAAGGAAAACTCATTGAATGACATCAAAAGAATGAGTTTCCATAGCTGTTGAAGCACGAGAGCCGTGTAGCTGCACAAAGGCGGGTTGGGGCAGTGGGACTGTCCCACTGCTCTATCCCAGCACAATTGGGTCACTGAAATAGGGAATTAATTACCATTGGAGAGTGGGCAGCCCATTCACCACTGGCTGAGTTTTATTAAACGCCAATATAAATAACAAAACAACTCTTGTGGCTGCACTATTCCTACACGCCAAAGGAAGGATTATGTTGGGGATTAACATCTTAAAGTCTATGAGACTTTCTGACTCAAGGCTCGGAGCTGGTAATCGTATTTGTCTCCTGGTTCAGCGATTAGTGCTCTCCCTCGCGCACCTTCGCCTGGATGGCCAATGTCCCTTTTTGCAGGCACTGGGTTTTTCACACAATCGGCTGTTCTTTTCCCCACATCTATAGAAAAGAATAAGAAAACTGAAGCGTGTTCACGCGATCCTCAAGCTTCTTCTCTTCTTCATGGGAAAGGAAGGCACCGGCGGCCTTTTTTCACAAGGGGGGGGGAGGCAAACCCTCTTGCGGAGGCGGGGGGCCCAGGATGGCAAAATCGCTCTGCAGGCCTGCACCTGCCATGCAAATCTGCCGGGAACAATTGGCCCCCAACGAGGGGCTCGTCTGCCCGGGGTGGGGGGAGCCAGGGAAAGATGCCGGGGCAGTGTTTACGGGGGAACCCCTCCTCGCCTTGATCCCCAAACCCTGAAAGTGTTAGTGCGGCTTGGGGTCTGGGGGGCCGGTCCTCATCCTGTCCTTCTCTGCAGCACTTTTCGCTGAGTGCACAGAGGGTTTGGGAAGGACCTGGATCGGGGCATAGGGGACACACACTGCAGCATTTTCCATTTCTCCCCTCTGTAGAGCATTCTGATACCCTACTGGATTTGGATGTATTCCATCCCCCCCATTTAAGAGCAGAACCATCCCACTTGCAGGGTTTCTGGGTGCTGGGTAGCCTGGTGTGGGCAGCCCTGGTACCCCAAACCCTTAGGACACCTCAGACCGGGTGGGTGTGAGGGAGGCAGAGCTGGGAGGGGTCAGCCCACCCTGTCCCCGCAGCTTTGTCCCCTCTTTCTCTGGGATGTCACGCCCCCATTCACCTGGGGCAGGCCGGCCATTAACGCCGGCTCTCAACTTGTGAGGTCGACGTGTGGATGGGCTGTGCCCAAAGGTCTCTCAGCAACACAGACCCTAAACTTTTAGGGCTATCGGGTCGCCTCAGAGTTCAATCTTCTTACAGCAAACAAAGCCTTTCTGAAGGTCTCCCCCTCTCCCCCACATGAGCTCAGCGTCCTTTATTTCTGGGCTGTGTGATAAGCTTAAATCATTGTGCTCCCATTTCTTGATCATCGCCTACTTTGGGCTTTTGTTCCCCTAAAGTAGGATTGAGTCTGGCAAAGGGGCTGAAGTTGAACAGTTTGACCCTTGGAGGACAGTTCAGGCAGTGGGCAGCAGTGGCAGCAGCATTCCCGCTCCTGATCCCACTTGCTCTTCCCCCACCGCCCCCTCTCCCCACCAGTCTCAGCCGAGCAGCTCGGCCCTCACTCTGTCCACAGACCACACAAGCGCCTCTGCAGCATTGTGAGGACTCACTCACCTTGTGCTCAGTCCTGAGGAGAGAAGTGCTGCATCGCCAAGGCTGGCAGCAAGAACTGGGCTGAACCCCCAGAAGGCACCACAATGGGTTATGCATGCCCAGCACCACCTCTGCCTCACCTCCCCATCACTTTCCATCGGCAATGGAAGGACAGAAATCTCAGGACAGGGGTGGTAACAGAGGGACAGGTTGGCCCTGTCACAGGTGACTCTGCTTTGAGCTTTAAGCTGCTGAAAAAAAAAAAAAGAAAGTCCTTTTGTGCCACTCTCCTGGGATGCCGAGGGGACCTGTGCGTCTCCTGCTTTTCACAAGGAGGCGAGGGGAGCATTAAAATGTCTCACGGAGTCACAGAGATGCTCTAATTGAGGCAGCCGCCTGGCTGCCATCGCTCCCGCAGGGAGTGACACAAGGGCCACCAACTCAGTGGGCAGCGAGAGCAAGGGACTCATTTGCGTGCAAGTTCCTGGTGTGCTCAGTGAGATGTTTGTGGCAATTTTGGCTCTCTCACCTGTTTTAGGTTTTTCTACCAGCTGCAAATAAAATCCTGTTCCAAAGCCCCAATCCCTCAAAGTGCCTCAGAACTGGTGTTTCCACACAGGAAGAGAGTGTGCTGGGGTTTTTGTTTTGTATGTCCTCACCATCACTTCTTTGATAAGGGCATGGAGTGACAAGGGGGGACGGCTTCACACTGACAGAGGGCAGAGTTAGACGGGATATTAGAAAGAGGGTGGGGAGGTCCTGGCAGAGGTCGCCCAGAGAAGCTGTGGCTGCCCCATCCCTGGAAGTGTTTAAGGCCAGGCTGGACGGAGCTTGGGGCAACCTGGTCTAGTGTAAGGTGTCTCTGCCCACGGCAGGGGGTTGGAACGAGATGCTCTTTCCAGGTCCCTTCCAACGCAAACCGTTATTTGACAGCACCGAGCAGCCGCATCCCGGGGGAGCCCCACACCATCTATCCCCGCAGCAAGCCGTGTATGAACCGTGCACCTTTACCACAGCACCGGCGTGTCCCCCAGAAGGCGAAATCTCCCCCTGAGAGGAACAGGGGGGCCAAGGGGAGCTCCCCCGCGCCGTCCCCTGCATCCCTTTGCCCGGGCGCCGCCGGGTCCGCAGAATGAAGCGGCCGCAAAGGGAGCGGGGCCCCGGGCGCGCGCGTGGCGCGGGGATTGGCCGGCTGCGCCTCGCGGCCCCCCCGCTTCTCCCCCGCGCCGTCCCCCCCATTCATTAATAAATTAGCGGCACGCTCCAGCCGAGCGCGAGGCGCCAATGGGGCCCCGACGGGAGGGGACACGGGGGGAGAACGGGCGAGGGGGGCAGCGGCGGCGCCCCCGACAAGAGTCGCGGGCGGGGCGAGGTGTGGGGGGGACGGGGGACGGACGGACCTCGGGGTAGGTTTGATTGTTCCCCGCGGGGTATATAAGGGGTGTTAAGGAGGGTCGTGTGCCAGACACGCAGCCCCGACGGGCCCCGGGCGCCGCTCCCGCCGCCGCCCGCCCAGACGCGCCCGCCGCCCCCGGGGCGCGTGCCAGCGACGCGCCCCCACGCCGGCTCCCCCCACCGCTCCGATCCCCCGCGCTTCGGCCCCCCGCGACTGCCGCCCCGCTCCGTCAAACCGGCGAACCGTCAAGCCGCCGGTGCTGCCCGGCGCTTCCCCCCGGTGCTTGCCCGGCGCGGCCCCGCAGGATGCTGGTGAAGGCGGAGGTCCTGGCGCCGCCCGCCGAGGACGAGCTGCTGCTGCTGGGGCTGGGCTCGCCCGCCCCCTCGCCCTCGCTGCCTTCCAGCGCCGAGGAGGAGGAGGAGGAGGAAGAAGAGGAGGAGGAGGAGGAGCCCCGCACCGCCCCGCCGGCGCGCCCCGTGGAGGCGGCGGGCGGCCGCGGGCTGCGGCGGGCGGAGGGGAAGCGGCGACCGGGGCGGTCCCGGGGCGCCCCGCGGGCGGCGCGCACGGCGGAGACGGCGCAGCGCATCAAGCGGAGCCGGCGGCTCAAGGCCAACAACCGGGAGCGCAACCGCATGCACAACCTGAACGCGGCGCTGGACGCCCTGCGCGACGTGCTGCCCACCTTCCCCGAGGACGCCAAGCTCACCAAGATCGAGACGCTGCGCTTCGCCCACAACTACATCTGGGCGCTCACCGAGACCCTGCGGCTGGCCGGGGCGGCGCGGCTCGGCCCCGACGGGGCGGCGGGCGCGGGGGTCCCCGCCGAGGGCAGCCCGTCACCCGCCTCCTCCTGGAGTGGCGGCGCCGCCAGCCCCGCGCCCTCCGCCTCCCCGTACGCCTGCACTTTATCGCCCGCCAGCCCCGCCGGCTCCGCCTCGGACCCCGAGCACTGGCCGGGCCGCTTTGCCCCGGCGCCGCCGCTGCCCCGCCACTGCCTCTAGCCCGCCCCGGCGCTCCCGGGGCTCCCCCCGGGGGGGCGGCGGCGGCGGCATCTGCCCCATTCCCAGGGCAGGGCGGGCGATGGGAACGGCACCTGCCAAACCAAACTTTCCGTCTCTCTCTCTTCTCTCTCTCTCTGTCTTTCTCTCCGATGTGCACTTTGTCCAGTTTTCCCAGATCTGTCACCGCGGGGCTTTTGTGTGTCGCCCCCCCCCCTTCCCCGCTCCCCCTCTTTGCCATCTGTCCCTTATGATTTATAGGCGGGAGGGGGGGGGTTGGAAAGCGAGAAAAAAAAAAAAAAAGTAAATTGTTTTGTTAGGGGTCCAGGTTAGAAGTCATTGTATAATTTGTAGGCTTTGTGAGGGCTGAATGCAAGCGTGGAAATTTAGGCTGAACTCTCTATCAAAAGGGAAAAAAAATCGGGAGGGGGGAATGGGGAAGGATCTCCTCATACATTATTTATTTCGACCTTTAGGGGACGAGGAACTCCCCCCTTCTTTCAGGAGATTAAAAATAAATCAACAGACTGAAAACCTCAACAGACACGGAACATTACAGCGATCAGCCACACACGTGTTCACATTTATTTATTATAAAGACAGATTTCATGGAAAATATGTATTTTTTTGTATAATTTACAGAGTTTATTCTAGTATGTATTTACAGCTGAAGAGCAAAGGGATTGTCCTTGTGATAAAATATAAATAAAAAGCTCTAATTTTCGTACCTTTGGGGCTGCTGCTTTTTCTGCTTTATGTGACAGCGACCGGGATTTACAGGGGTTGGGCCTGTCCTTGTCTCCGGTGAAACCAGGGTCTGATGGGAGCTGATGCCACTTACAGCAGGTCCACAGGCAACAGCTTCTTCACCAAACTGCAGAAAAACACATTATATATGTATATATACATATATTTATATACATAAATATATATATATAAGTTCAGTGGAAGTTTACTGATCATTTACCTTTGCCTCTTGGTACTGAAGATGCTGACAGCAAACGCGGGATGGATGGATGGATGGATGGATGGATGGATGGATGGATGGATGGATGGATGGATAAACAGTTAGCATGCTTCTTCAGGCTGAAGGATTTCACCAAGAAGGCCACAGGAAATAAATGTTACTGAAGAAAAAATGCGTGGGCTAAAAAGGAGGAAGAATTCCCTTTCTGTGCCTCTCTGAGGGACGGATGAATCCCAAGGCACTTGCAGTTCCAGGGGGTTCGGTTTAGTGTGCACAGCACAGGGCCAGGGATGTCACCATGGAGGGGGATGCTGGAGGCTGCCCAGGCCCTTCAATCATCATCCCCGTGCGCCCGGGAGCACTTTGGGACTTCTGGGTACAAACACCTGGAAATCATTAAAAACCAGCAGAGGCGCCTGAATGTATTAATTAAATAAAGTGCTCAGCACGTGAATCCCGCCCGGTGCCCTCCGGATCCTGGGAGCGTGAAACCCGGCCCTTGGAGCGACGTCCGCAAAGGCGGGGGGGAAGAGAAAAAAAAGCCCAAAATGTGTGAAAAGAGAATTAGTGAAATTAGGTTAGGCCAATAAACCACGCGGGGGTCCCCCAGCCCCGCAGCCTCAGGCGAGCAGCGCTATCTAGCCTGATCTATTGTTTCCCCCCCTGGCAGGGGGGTTATTGTGTGATAAATAATTCCCTAAAAAAAAAAAAAAAAAAAAAAAAGTGGGATCATTTGCATAATCACTGCTTTGATGTGGCCAGCAAGATGAAGCTGTGTCCCCCCAAATCTGCCACGGGCCAGGAGGAACAAAACAAGAGGGAGCCTTTGACGGTGCTGGCGGTGTGTGGGGCAGCCCATTGGGAGCGGGTTTTTCACTCTCACTCTCTTTTAAAGACCCCTTTTAATGATTAAACTCCAGGAATGCCAAAAAGAAGCTGAGTGCGCCTCGCTCGCCCTCTCCGTCTTTTCTGGTCGGGTCTCATTGTCTTTCCCAGTTTCTCTCCCACTTTTAAGAGGCGCTGGAGTAGGTGCCTTCGGCTCTTCAAAAGGCCAGGAGGGATGGGATGCACTTCTGTCTCAGATGGTGAAGCCATGCAGGAGCAGGAGGGACATCCTGGGTAGCTCAGCACCGGGATGCTCCCTCCTGCTGTCCTTGGGGAGGGATGCTGCTTCTTGCCAGGTGTGTCATCCTGCAGGAATTTTCCTCCATCCCAGGTACAGACAGGAGCATCCCCATCCTGCCAGGGCTGTGGCGATGGGAACCACCGTGGGAAAAAGCACACATCATGTTGAAGGATGGAGGGGGGGCTTTGGTCAGGGATTTGGGGTGGGAGGCATGCCAGCCAAACTTTCCCTGCTCCCTGTGGCAGGCTGGCCTCGGCTGGAGATGCCCCTGGAAGAGACAGGTCCACGGGGGACAAGGCAGGGAGGGGGAGACTGGGCTGTGTTGGCAAAGGCTGAGCCAGAAAGGCTGGATTTGCCACCTAACACAGTCACCCTCATCCCAGTTTTTCATTTGAATGACGCCAAAAGCATTTATTTCCCTCTTTCTTCCCTCTTAACTTGAGTGTATTCCTCTCTTTCCTTCTTTTTTCTCATATTCCCCCATTTCTCTCAGAAGACTGATTTTTGGAGGTGACGGCCAGTCCCCAGAGCCAATTGCAGCCAACCTGGAAGCGGCCCAGGAGACACAAGACGGAACAGCACCTCCTTGGATGACGAGACGAACCTGGGGGTGGTTTCCATGGCAGCCCCTTGCCCCAGAACATGTGTTTATGATCCTTCTGTGTATTGTATTTTGGCATAAAAGCTCCTCCACACTGTCAGAGCTGGAGGGGCAGCACGAAAGCCCCCGAGGGGGTTTACAGCATAAGAATAGTGCCGAGGAGCCAAAGCAGTCCCAGCCGCACCCCAAGGGCTGCCACGCTCGCTTTCATGTCAGGCATCAATCTTTCCACATAGTGCCATCATTAAAGAGTGTTCCCAACACAGCCCTCATGCGGCTGGCAGATCCTAAACCCAGTTTTCCTCAAGCCTTACTCAGTTGCCTCAGGTTGGGCTTCACCCTTGCCCCGGATTACATGTGGATTTGGCCCATGCGGCCCCAATTCCCATTCCCCACAGGCAAAAAAGTCTCAATTATCTCTTATACAGTCAATCCTCTGGCAGAAACAGAAATTCCAGAGGGAATTTTGTTGTAACCTGGGGTAGGTTCTTGTCTTACTACAGGGCTAAATCTTGTGTTTTATGGTCTAAGACACTCTTTTGCTCTGACAATGTAAGGATATCAGGATATTAGGGTATCAGGATATTACAATATCAGGATATTAGAATATCCTGCCTTTTTCCTATGATGCTGCAACAGCTGTGCAGGTCCAGCAAAATACTGGCATCCTGCTCACCCCCGTGACCTCTCGTACAGAACTCAGATTAAGGAGAGGTAGAACTCTGGCGGTGCTCAGATTTAAAATAAAGCCTTTAGAAATTGTTTGGACAGAAAAGAAATCCTCGGAGGGTCACTTTGCAGCAGCCACGAGGGAATAGGGATGGTGCTGGGGTGGCTGTGACACGCAGCCACCCCCTTTCCCTCGCCTCCCCTCCTCCTCCTTTTATTAAAAAGCAGAGAGCCCGGCCCAAAGCTGATGGCATATTTACCTTCATGAGTTTTAAAAAAAGTTAATTACCGCTCGGAGCAAGTTGGTCGGGCTGTCCTGAGCTGTCTTTTATTAGTAGTCGCCTTCATTAATTTCCCTCGCTGGATTTGCTGCTAATAGCTGCCTGGTCCTGGGCAGCACAAAGCAGCATCTGTGCCATTGAGCAGAAAAGCGGGAGTCAGGCAAAGGGGGGCACTGGGTGGGGGGGCGACGCCGTTTGCAAATCAACCTCTATTAACGTGATGTCCTGCTCAGAGGGGACGGCAGCTCCGGTAGCCAGCACGGCAGTTTGGGCTTCCCTCGGCTGTTACTGAGGGAGGAAAGGCACCTGCTGCCTGCTGGGGGGGGATCCTGCCCTCACCCTGCGCCCCTGGGTGCTGACTGTGCCACCCACACACCCCCCCCCAAATGCAGGGGGAAGAAGGATGCTGGACCTGCCTCTACGGGATCTGTGTTCCTCCTTGGTGCTGTGGGTGCTCTGCTTCTCTTAGCAGCATCCAGCACTAACCAAATTATTAATAACTTGGTATCTTCGGATGGAAGATACACTCTGCCTTAAAAACGGCTTGGCAGGGAAGTTTGGGATTAGAGAACAGGATTAAGTTCTGTTTGGAGGGGCACAGTGGGCAGGCTGGGGGGGCTGGAGGCATCACAGACTCACACGAGCTGGGGCAGCGGGAGGCTGCGGAGGCCAACAGCCCCATCTGCTCCCGCTCTGCCAAGGGACAGGGGAGATGATTTCATCCAAGTGGAAGAAAGGAGGGTGGCGTGTGTCGCTCCCAGGAGAGGGGTGAGAGCTGCACGCTGCTGCCAGTTTCCCTGCAGGGCCAGGGAGGACACCCGGGTGCCGTAGCGGGGACTTCCCTCAGGGCAGCAGGTGACAGCAGCAGTTATCGAGGTGTTTTTTTTTTTTCACTTTGCTGCAAATATTCCCACTCTGGTTAGTGGGAAGGAGATGCCGAGGAGGTTGGTGCTGCCGTGTCTCTCCAAGCAGAAGGGATGGGGCAGTGTGGGCTACGATTCTGCGCTTGCTGGCGTGAGGCTTTGCCCTCAGCCCCCGTGAATAGCTGTGTCTGGTGAAGGAACGGTGCCTAAATCCAGCAGCTGGGCTCCAGGGGCAGCTGATGCCGGGTTTATGGCAGCAGGGACGTGCTGCCTCGCGTGCAGGGGCTGCCTCACAGCTGGAGGGGTCACCTCACGCCCGCTCTCCGCCGGCCGTAATGGCCCGGGATGCTGAGACTCACAGGGAGGCAAGCCTGGCTCAGCACTGTATTGTTGGGATAACTGAGGGGCTCCCTTTCCTCTCCAGCTTTGCTAAGAGAAATCCCCCAAAGTGCTCCACAGAGTCACTAGTTACTGGCAAAGGACTGAGAAAATCAAT